ATCTGTAACACAAACACAGGGTATAATAACGTGTATCCCTAAAGGTGATAAGCCAAAAAACAATTTTTTAAAAAAAATTGGCGACCGATAACACTGCTTAATACAATTTATATAATTGGTTCTGGATGCATAGCGGAATAGAATAAAAATATTTTTAGACAAAACTTATTAACACTGACCAAACAGGATTTATAAAGGGCAGATTTTATAGGAGAAAAATGTAAGACTTATTTATGATATATAATGCAATATACAGAGGAGAATAACATTTCTGGGCTTTTACTCCTTATCGATTTCGAAAAGGCTTTTTGATTCTTTGTCTTGGGTTTTTGTAGATAAAACGTTGTCACTTTTTAATTTTGTAGAAGACATCAAAAAAGATGGTTTTACATTTTTCTTAAAGATGGGATTTCAGCAATATGTCCAAAATTGGATTTTTATCAAAGTTCTTTAGCATTCAGCGTGGGTGCTGGCAAGGTGATCCGTTAAGTTGTTATATTTTTATTTTATGTGCTGAATACTTTCGCAGAAAATTAGGTCAAATAACAATATTAAAGGAATTAAAATGAATTTGGTAGAACATAAGCTATCTCAATTCGCAGATGATACTTCAATTATTCTAGATGGTTTCGGCCTCTTCTTTAAATGAAACCTTAGACACATTGTCCACTTTTACTTTTATTTCTGGTTTGAAAGTTAATTTTGACAAAACAAAAGTCGTCTGGATTGGAAAAGAAAAATTTAGTGCAAATAGTATAAAAACAAAATGGAAATTATCTTGGAATCAGCAAAATTTTGACATGCTTGGCTTTAAGTTTCATGTAGATTTGTCAAAAATGATAGATTTAAACTACAAATCTAAAATTGCAAAAGCAGAAAATATTTTTAAAATGTGGAAGAGAAGAATAATTACACCAATTGGAAGAATAATTGTCATTAAAACTCTTGTACTGTCACTCTTTAATCACTTGTTTGTTTCTTTGCCTAATCCTCCAAAATCTTATATTCAACAAATAGAAAAAATCTGGAAACAAAGTGATCCCTCGGAAGCATTAATCACAACAAAATTACATAAGAATTGCAGACTCGGTTTGATTGAGTCTGTACATGAGGGATAATGAATAAGTGCAACATCCCTCACGCCCCCTAGCACCGGCTTGAGCGGTACTCAAACTTTATTCTTTGATTTTATATGGCAAGGTCCGTGCAAAGTTAAAAAAGACGTTTTGATAAAAAATAAAAAAGATGGAGGTCTCGACATGATAGATTTAAATGCATTTATATCTGCATTAAAAACTACTTGGATAAGACGAATCATTACGAGCAACGGAAAATGGCTAGATATTGTTTCTAATCTAATAGATATAGATAAATTATTAAATTGTGGCTCTCATTACCCAGAAACCATAGCAAAAACCTGTAAAAACTTATTTTGGAAAGATAATTTAAATGCTTTTGTTCAATTATGTAAAAAAAATATCCCATGTTCCGATAAAGTGTTGGAATATCCATTATTTTATAACCCAGATATATTGATTGGTAAAAAAAGTATATTTTTAAAGTCATGGTTTAATGCTGGTGTCCAGTGTATAGGTGACTTGTTTAACATGAATGGGGATTTATATGAGATCCATGAATTCAATAAAATTTATAATTTGAGTGCTAATTTTTTGCATTTTCAAGGCATATGTAACGCAGTAGTTTAAATATCTTAAAAGTGTTGGTTATTCTATTAGTAGTTTACAATATGTTTCAAGACCTTATATTCCACCAATGCTCTCTCAGATATTAAAAAATGAAAAGGGTTCACAACCTATGCATAATATATTACAAGAGCGATCAGTAATCACATGTGTCGCCTCATAATGGCCAATTTCATGTTGGGACAAATTTTGTGACAGACGGACAGACAGACGGACAGTACACAACTAGACTTGGTACTGATCAATCATGTAAAGTTTGGATAAAAATGCACCAGTAGCTTATGAGGAGTAGTCCGGACAAGCTTTTGCGTATCTGGCAACACACAGAAAAAAACACCTTTTTATCAAAGGGCCATAACTCAGCCAAAAATCATTCAACCAAAAAACCCGTGCAATATGCGCAAGGACTTGAGCTACAGATCAATCCTGTAAAGTTTCATTGAAATTGCATAAGTGGTGTAAGAGAACTAGTCCTGACAAACTTTAAAAATAAAAATTATTAAAGGGCCATAACTCTGACAAAAATCATTGAACCGGAAAATGCTGACAATATGCACAACTAGACTTGGTACTGATCATTCCTGTAAAATTTGGATGAAATTGCACCAGTAGCTTATGAGGAGTAGTCCGGACAAGCTATTGTGTATCTGGCAACACACAGAAAAAAACACCTTTTTATCAAAGGGCCATAACTCGGCCAAAAATCATTCAACCGAAAAACCCTTGCAATATGCGCAAGGACTTGAGCTACAGATCAATCCTGTGAAATTTCATTGAAATTGCATTAGTGGTATAAGAGAAGTAGTCCAGACAAACTTTAAAATTAAAAATTATTAAAGGGCCATAACTCTGACAAAAATCATTGAACCGGAAAATGCTGACAATATGCACAACTAGACTTGATACTGATCATTCCTGTAAAGTTTGGATGAAATTGCACCAGTAGTTTATGAGGGGTAGTCCGGACAAGTTTTGTGACGGACGGACGGACAGACAGACGGACAGACGGACAGACAGACGACGGAGAAGTGATCCCTATATGTCGCCACTACTCCGTAGAGGCGACACAAAAATCAAATAACAGTACAGCTGTTTGTAAACTTAAATGGGAACAAAAACTTAATACTAATTTTGAAGATAAAGAATGGAATACATTTTTTTCACTTATTTTTGAAACCACTAAAAACACGAATTTACAATGGTTTCAATACAGAATTGTACACAGAATACTTGGCACAAACGAACTTTTGTATAAGATACAATACAAAGATAATCCAAACTGCAGTTTTTGCTACAAATTTTCTGAAAGCTTGGAACACCTTTTTTGGGACTGTGAAGTTGTTTTTGATATGATTCATGGTCTTTTTGAAAATACTCATTTACATTTGACAAGAATAGAATTTCTTTTAGGAATACAAAATGTTGATAATGAAACTAATCTTTTGCTTTTATTTGTCAAGAAGTATATATATTTTTGTAAAATGAATTTTAAAAGACCGACTATAGAGGCTGCTAAGCATTATATTAAGTACCAATACCAAATCGAAAGAGAAACACAAAAAAATATTAACAAAGTAGATATTTTTGACAAAAAGTGGGACACTTTGAAATATATTTTCATTTCTTCATACCAAGATTAGTATGTGAGTGTGAACATTGTGTTATTGATTATGTGTTATTATTATTTTAAACACAATATGACTAGAAACAGTTTTTATTCATTAGACTACAGGCTACAAAACTATATATTGAAAAGTTAAGTGAGATTATAAATTAATCACAGGCTTCTATTTTTTTAATGTACCTTGTGTGTTTGTTTGTTTTGTTTTGTTTTATATATATGTATGTCTTTGTATGTATGTATGTATGTATGTATGTATGTATGTATGTATTTATCTGTGTTCAAAATAAACGGGGTTACCATTTAAGGGCCTCAAAAAAAAAAAAAAAATTAAGTTTGTTTGTGAAATTATTGTCCCGTTTCTTTGACAAGCATACTGCTTCAAAATGATCTTTCTTCGAGCAAAATGTACATGTTTTTCCACTGGCTGGGCATTTTCCTGATTTGTGTGGATGTGTCAAATGAATGATTTAGGTTTGTTTCAATCATACAATAGCCATGATATCTGTTACTGTAACTTCTAGGGTTTGTTCAAGTCACATGACTAGTTTAAAAATACTCGGTGATTCCGTCGGCGCCTAAATATCGTTCAACAATTATAGATATATTTACGCTTCAAACCCAAATTATATAAAATTTATACAGAAAATAATGCTGAGACTTTAACAAATGTCATTTGAGGGCGAGTGCGTAGGAAAATATAAATAGTTTTGTCATTTATATGCCTGAGTATCCCTTTAAGGACCACCTAAAGTATGTTCCTTTTAAATAAATATGAAACAAACGTGAAAACAACAACAAAGGTTTACAAAAGCTCAAGCCGGTGCTAGGACGTGAGGGATGTTGCACATATTCATTATGCATCCGTCCGTCCGTTGTCTGTTACCAGCTTTTGAACCGGTGGAAGGAAATTGATTCTACTTGGCAGAAATGTAAGTGAAGTGAAGTACGGGGCAACTTTTACAGCTGCCACATGGCACTTGACATCTGCTGTTGTGAAGTGTAAAAATATGAACACAAAGTGATCCCTCAGTGATCCCTCAGAAGCATTAATCACAACAAAATTACATAAGAATTACAGACCCCTTTTTGAAACAGTCATTGGTTTCACTGTAGGTTAATGATAAGTATAAAGGAATGAGGCGAACTCTGTGGTAATCTGCATTTTAACGACGATGAACCATATCGGTGAATTTGTGGTGTGATTTAAGATGGGTGCCGGTAAATATTAATTGCTTTCAGTATTAATTTTTTAGAGCAATGCAAAGAAACTATTACACATTTTCTTCAATTATGCCACGTATCCTTAAATTATGCTGTGCAGTTTTTCCCCATACTTTGATTTGTGTTTTGGCCAAAATAAACTTAAACAAAAGAATTTATATTTAGGTCATCTACTCACTTATGATCGATAATTCATACACGACCTTGAAAAAGAAAAATATAACCGGAACGATCTAAAATTTAAACTAAGCAATTTATGTATGTCGTTCATTATCATTAAGTTGCTCTACATTCTTTGTTAAATCGTTAACTAGAGAATACTGACTTATCATTTGATTAAATTCATTACTAAACATTAATTATAATGAAATAAGGGAACAATACTATCTATAGACGTAACAGTTTTTAACCCTGTTATTGCTTAAATGTCATCATACAGAACATAGTTTATCTCTCTCCAATATAAGGTTGTTGTCAGTAAGTTAGTGCAAGTTAAGCAAACGTTACAAGTCCATTTAAGGATACATATCGTTGGATATTGCAATACTGTTCTGTCTACGTTGTGAGGAAATATGGAAGAAAAGTTTACAAAAAGTTACATTAAGGTGGATGGACCTCCTGTTGCACTAAAACATCAAACTTTTCCGCAGGTGATGAAACATTATGCGGAGACGAAACCTGACGGTGAGTCTGTTGTCTTTGTATCAACTGACGGGACTCGAGAATGCGTAACTTGGTTTCAGCTTTACCAACGATCTCAGATAATGGCGAAATCACTGATTGAAATGGGGATTCAGAGGCACGAGGTTGTTGCTATCAACGTACGTTGTTGTCCAGAGTGGTTATATGCTACATTTGGTGTCATGATGGCTGGAGCCATTCCAGTCAGTATATCCTTCACGTATACTGACGGGAGTGACCTTATCGCTCTAATGAAAAAGATGGAAACTTGTTCGCTGCTTATTCTTGATCCTGGTGCAGACAGTATTAATTGGAACATCCTTTGTAAACTTCTTGACGAGTACAAAGCTGACGGTAAAGTAAAAAGCCAGAAAATGCCATACCTAAGATATATTCTAGGGGTAAGGTTTGATGGACACCCAGAATTATCTAATGTCTTAGGCTTGCGAGACCTTTTAGAGGCGGACCATTGTGATATAGAACTTCCCGTCGTTAAGCCAACCGATGTATGTGGACTCTTCCAGACATCTGGGAGCACAGGGATTCCAAAACTTGTTACATATACTCACCAATCACCTCTAAAGATGTTTAGTGATTCTGATGTTCTCGAACATTCTAATCCGAAATATATCTTTTTCAACGACAGGCCTTTCAATTGGGGTGGTGGATATCCATTTTCCATATTAACGGGCCAAACAAGGGTGACACTTTCTGAATTTTGCGATCCTCCGAATGACAGACTTTCCTTTATGATTGACGTAATAGTCAAAGAGAAATGTACTTTGATTTGTGCTCTACCACCTCTGATGCATGAGCTTATCAAAAGAAAGGTTTATTGGATTTTTTACATAAAACATTTTAAAACGTGATCTCATACATACTTGTTTATAACTTATCGTAATCCCTTAATTAAAGAATACTGAAATTAATGAAGTAAATTGTCTCTTTTAATAAAGCAGCTTTTTATAAGCTGCCAAAAAAGTGGGTGTGTGTTGCATTTTTTAATCGTAAAAAGTAGGATCACATGTATATCATACATATTACACAATTAATATATATGATACTTATACTGTACGATAAACAATTCAACTATGCTGCAATTATGACATTTTCCTTTTATTTTTCAAGGAATATTTGCCAGATGACTGGCCAGTTGAAGGCATACTGACTGGTGGACAGCCTCTTACTAAGCGCTTAGCTGCCTGCATAGGAAAAGCTTGTAAATTCCTTCTGTGCTTGTATGGAGGCTCAGAGTTTGCAGGCGCGACTGTAGCGAAAATAACTAATCCAAATGATTTCACCGAATTTGGATGCGGAAAACCTTTTAATATGCCTGGGCTGGAAATCAAAATAGTGGACGAGAACACAGAAATAGTACCCGTCAATCAAAGGGGAGAAATATACGTTCGATCAGAGGCCATGTTTGCGGGCTATTTCAACGATCCGGAGAAAACAAAAGCCGTGCTCTCCGAAGACGGATGGTATAAAACAGATGATATTGGGAGGATGACCGAAGATGGTGAATTCTTTGTAGAGGGTCGAAAATCCAATATGATTATTTCAGGGGGATTTAACGTTGCTCCAGAGATTCTTGAGAATGTTATGAAAACTTTCCCTGGTGTAGATTCTGTCATTATCGTACCAGTTCCAGATGACGTTTACTATCAAGTGTTGTGTGCTTGTATTGTTAAAAAAGGAGATTGCGAAATAAGCGAAGAAGATATCCGAAAGAACTGCCACGAGTATCACGCAGACAAACCGGGACTTTTTACAGTTCTTCCGAAATACTACATGTTCCTTGAATCGTTTCCTGAAACAAGAAGTGGGAAAACTCACCGAATGGAGTTGGAAAAAATATCACTTCAACGATTTCGTCAGAGTACATTCTAAGATATATTAAATATAAATGTTGTGTAAAATATGCGTAACGTTCTATGATATTTCTCTTAGGAATAAACCAATACTATATTATGTAAACAAATATATATATGGTTAGTATAGGATAAAAGAAGGAGCACATGATGAAGAAAATATATTTATGCATTATTTGTGCATTATAATTAACACAATATCAAATGATCATTAGAATGCTGTTAAATATTTCTTGAAGTTTGTGGCCATATAAACAATATAGTTTGAAGAATTTTTATGTTTGTGAATATGCATAATACAACAAAACGGAAATAAATTTTATAAAAGCTTAAACCTGTTTTTAACGTCTGATATGGTATTTGTATACAGTGTTTATAACATATCTACTTTATCCCTGATGTATTTTCAAAATAGAATCTGAAAACATTATAAATTTTTTAGACACTAAAGATAGAGATCCAGCATTTTCTTAACGCATTCCTTTGATGTTTCATAAAGTGTCGTGTTTATGGTTTCTGTATGTTTAAATCCGATTGCCAATTCATATAGAGCCATCTAACAGTATCAAAATGAAGGTTTATCATTGAATTGCAATATTTAAGAGCCTAATCAAATCAAGGTGTTTGTCTCATAGGTAACTTCGACCATATTAGGGGCGTTGACAGAAGCTTGCGCTTTCCAGTACTGTCCATCCATGCATGAACAAACAGGTTCATTCAGACCGAGCCTTCAACATTTTCTTTATTGCCGTTTGGGACATTCTTTAGGGATTTCATTTCTCTCTATTTTATTGCCACATCAGTATTGTTTGTGTTGTGTGGGCCGTTAAAAGTCGCCCCGTACATACATTCAGAGATGTTATATCTCGGATTCCTGATGATCGTCAAACTTGACATTATTGTTTAGATTGTAGTATATGAAGTTTTTTCTATTTGACTATTTTTACTTTGGTGGTTCCAGTATCCTTACTTGAATACTGTAGTATCACACTTTAGACATGTGGCCAGCTTTTTTAAATCAGACTTTTGACAGCTTATGTGTGATATGCAGGCTTTATAACCTTTGGTCCACTACGTCCATTGTGTTCTAATTTTAGGCATACGTATGCTTTTACTTGAGGCTCATACGTCACTTTTCGTAGAATGACACTGACGTGTTTCATTGAAGGTTCCATGATAACCGCGTGATAACCGTGTGAACAACCTGTGGATGTTTCTAAATTCGAAATGCCACCATAACCATGTTTAGATGTTAAGTTGTGCTAAAACCAGTGCTAGGGGATGTTAGTTGCATTAATGTAAATCAATCAATAAATTAATAAATAAATAAATGATAACTTAAAGCCAAAAGTGAAGATTTTTTCTTTCCTTTATTCACAAATGTTTTACATACAAAAATTATATAAAATGAGATATTTTAACAAATTGCATTTGAGATATTCGTATGTAATAGAATAACAACATACACATACAAAACAAAGAAAAAAACTATTAAGCCTTGAAAATATTTAGAGATTAATGTAGAGATTAGTATAATTATATCTTTAAAATTTTGAGTATTTTGTCACAATAAATTACTTTTATCTTCTTCTATTTATAGTATTAATACATTATCTGAAAGTCTGTTTGAAAAAAGTTGAACTATGTTTAATTCATTTGACCAGTTATTCCTACAAAATATTATGAAGTTGAAATCGTGAATTCGTGAAGTTGAAATCGTGAATTCATGAAGTTGAAATCGTGAATTCATGAAGTTGAAATCGTGAATTCATGAAGTTGAAATCGTGAATTCATGAAGTTGAAATCGTGAATTCGTGAAGTTGAAATCTAGAATTCACGAAGTTGAATTCGTGAAGTTGAAATCGTGAATTCATGAAGTTGAAATCGTGAATTCGTGAAGTTGAAATCGTGAATTCATGAAGTTGAAATCGTGAATTCATGAAGTTGAAATCGTGAATTCGTGAAGTTGAAATCTAGAATTCACGAAGTTGAATTCGTGAAGTTGAAATCGTGAATTCATGAAGTTGAAATCGTGAATTCGTGAAGTTGAAATCGTGAATTCATGAAGTTGAAATCGTGAATTCGTGAAGTTGAAGTCGTGAATTCATGAAGCTGAATCGTGAATTCGTGTATTCCGTATTTTGAAAACGGGAATGCACGAAGTTTAAATTGTGAATTCATGAAGATGAAATCGGGAATTCATGAAGTTGAAATGGCCCTACCGGTCTTTCGTAGTATAAAGATAAAATGGTGGTTTCCTAGCTTGGACCACGTGGGTCAAGTTACAGCGTAAAAATTCACAATAGTTGTCACAACGTTTAAGAAAATGTCAAATGAATGATTTAGGTTTGTTTCAATCATACAATAGCCATGATATCTGTTATTGTAACCTTCCAGGGTTTGTTCAAGTCACATGACTAGTTTTAAAAATACTCGGTGATTCTGTCGGCGTCTAAATATCGTTCAACAATTAAACATATATTTACGCTTCAAACCCAAATTATATAAAATTTATACAGAAATTAAAGCTGGGACTTTAACAAATGTCATTTTAGGGTGAGTGCATAGGATAATATTGATAGTTTTGTCATTTATTTGCCTGAGTATCCCTTTAAGGACCACCTAAAGTATGTTCCTTGTAAATAAATATGTGGTGTGATTTAAGATGGGTGCCGGTAAATATTAATTGCTGTCAGTATAAATTTTTTAGAGCAATGCAAAGAAACTATTATACATTTTCTTCAATTATGCCACGTATCCTTAAATTATGCTGTACAGTTTTTCCCCATATTTTGAATTGTGTTTTGGCCAAAATAAACTTAAACAAAAGAATTTATATTTAGGTCATCTACTCACTTATGTAATTGGCCCGCTAGAGATCGATAATTCATACACGACCTTGAAAAAGAAAAATATAACCGGAACGATCTAAAATTTAAACTTAGCAATTTATTATGTCGTTGATTATCATTAAGTTGCTCTACATTTTTTGGGAACAATATTATTTATAGACGAAACAGTTTTTAACCCTGTTACTGCTTAAAAGGAGTTTTAAATGCCATAATACAGAACATACTTTCTCTCTCTCCAATGTAAGGTTGTTGTCAGTAAGTTAGTGCAAGTAAAGCAAACGTTACAAGTCCATTTAAGGATATGTATCGTTGGATATTGCAATATTGTTCTGTCTACGTTGTGAGGAAATATGGAAGAAAAGTTTACAAAAAGTTACATTAAGGTGGATGGACCTCCTGTTACACTAAAACATCAAACTTTCCCGGAGGTGATCAAACATTATGCGGAGACAAAACCTGACGGTGAGTCTGTTGTCTTTGTATCAACTGACGGAACTCGAGAATGTGTAACTTGGTTTCAGCTGTACCAGACACGAGGTTGTTGCTATCAACGTCCGTTGTTGTCCAGAGTGGTTATATGCTACATTTGGTGCCATGATGGCTGGGGCCATTCCAGTCAGTATATCCTTCACGTATACTGACGGCAGTGATCTTATCGCTCTAATGAAAAAGATGGAAACTTGTTCGCTGCTTATTCTTGATCCTGGTGCCGAGTTTGTTAATTGGAATATCTTGCGTAAACTTCTTGACAAGTTCAAGGCTGATGGAAAGGTAAAAAGCCAGAAAATGCCGTATCTAAGATATGTTCTAGGGGTAAGGTTTGGGCATCCCGAATTATCAAATGTCATAGGATTGCGAGACCTTTTAGAGGAGGATCATTGTGATATAGAACTTCCCGTCGTTAAGCCAACCGAGGTATGTGGACTCTTCCAGACATCTGGAAGCACAGGTGTACCAAAACTTGTTACATATACTCACCAATCACCTCTAAAGATGTTTAGTGATTCTGATTTTCTCGAACATTCTAATCCGAAATATATCTTTTTCAACGACAGGCCTTTCAATTGGGGTGGCGGATATCCATTTTCCATATTAACGGGCCAAACAAGGGTGACACTTTCGGAATTTTGCGATCCTCCGAATGACAGACTTTCCTTTATGATTGACGTAATAGTCAAAGAGAAATGTACTTTGATTTGTGCTCTACCACCTCTGATGCACGAGCTTATCAAAAGAAAGGTTTATTGGATTTTTTACATAAAACATTTTAAAACGTGATCTCATACATACTTGTTTATAACTTATCGTAATCCCTCAATTAAAGAATACTGCAATGAATGAAGTAAATTGTCTCTTATAATAAAGCAGCTTTTTATAAGCTGCCAAAAAAGTGGGTGTGTGTTGCATTTTTAATCGTAAAAAGTAGGATCACATTTATATCACACATATTACACATTAAATATATATGATACTTATACTGTACGATAAACAATTCAACTATGCTGCAATTATGACATTTTCCTTTTATTTTTCAAGGAACATTTGCCAGATGACTGGCCAGTTGAAGGCATACTGACTGGTGGACAGCCTCTTACTAAGCACTTAGCTGCCTGCATAGGGAAAGCTTGTAAATTCCTTCTGTGCTTGTATGGAGGCTCAGAGTTTGCAGGCGCGACTGTAGCGAAAATAACTAATCCAAATGATTTCACCGAATTTGGATGCGGAAAACCATTTAATATGCCTGGACTGGAAATTAAAATAGTGGACAAGAACGCAGAAATAGTGTCCCTCAATCAGAGAGGAGAAATATATATTCGATCAGAGGCCATGTTTACGGGCTATTTCAATGATCCGGAGAAAACAAAAGCCGTGCTCTCCGAAGACGGATGGTATAAAACAGATGATATCGGGAGGATGACCGAAGATGGCGAATTCATTGTAGAGGGTCGAAAGTCCAATATGATTATTTCAGGGGGATTTAACGTTGCTCCAGAGATTCTTGAGAATGTTATGAAAACTTTCCCAGGTGTAGATTCCGTCATTATTGTACCAGTTCCAGATGACGTTTACTATCAAGTGTTGTGTGCTTGTATTGTTAAAAAAGGAGATTGCGAAATAAGCGAAGAAGATATCCGAAAAAATTGCCACGAGTATCACGCAGACAAACCAGGACTTTTTACAGTTCTTCCGAAATACTACATGTTCCTTGAATCATTTCCTGAAACTAGAAGTGGGAAAACTCACCGGGTGGAGTTGGAAAAGATAGCACTTCAACGATTTCGTCAGAGTACTTTTCTAAGATATATTTAATATAAATGTCGTGTAAGATATGCGATACGTTCTATGATATTTCTTTAAGGCATAAACCGATATTATATGTAAACAAATATATATATGGTTAGTGTAGGATAAAAGAAGGAGCACATGATGAAGAAAATATATTTATGCATTATTTGTGCATTATAATTAGATCAATATCAAATGATCATTAGAATGCTGTTAAATATTTCTTGAAGTTTATGGCTACATATACAATGTACTTTGAAGAATTTTTATGTTTGTGAATAAGCATAAAACAACAAAACGGAATTAAATTTTATAAAAACTTAAAACTGTTTTTAACGTCTGATAGGGTATTTGGATACAGTGTTTATAACATAGACTTCTACTTCATCCCAGATGCATTTTCAAAATAGAATCTGAAAACATAATACTTTCTTTAGACACTAAAGATAGAGATCCAGCATTTCTTAACGCATTCCTTTGATGTTTCATAAAGTGTCGTGATTATGGTTTCTGTATATTAAAATCCTATTGCCAATTCATATAGAGCCATCTAAACAGTATCAAAATGAAGGTTTATCAATTTGAATTGGCAATATTTTTAAGAGCCTAATCAAATCAAAGGTTTTGTCTCATAGGTAACTTAGACCATATAAGGGGCGTTTACAGTAGCTTGCACTTTCCAGTACTTTCCATCCATGAACAGGTTCAATCAAACCAAGCCTGCAACATTTTCAATTTTTCCGTTTTGGGACATTCTTTAGGGATTTCATTTCTCTCTATTTTATTGCCACATCAGTATTGTTTGAGGCCGTAAAAAGTCGCCCCGTACAAACAAGATGTTATATGATCGTCAAACTTGACATTAAGGTTGGGTTTGTAGTACATGAAGGTTCTTCTATTTGACTATTTTTACTTTCAAATTGGTGGTTCCACTATCCTCGCTTGAATACTGTAGTATCACACAAGATGTGATACTGAATAATTGTTTGAAAGGTAAATCTTAAATGTGTCTATGTTACATATAAATGTACAATTATACTGTACCTTCTTTGACATCAGTTTTTTAATCTTCATGATCAAGCATAATTATCGTATGCAAATCTATCTTTCATGTTGACCTTATATGAAGAAGTAATATCTTATACTGACTCCTTGTTACATATATACGTAATGTATGTATCTTTGATGAGTTATGAAATAAAAGTATGAAATATATCATATCAAACAAAAAATTTGCTTACTTTGCTATTGCTTCGGCAAGAGTATGTATGATTGCTATGTCTAATGAGGTTCGTCGGCACATGCCAGCTTTCGCCTGTCGAACATGTCACCGTCCATGCCCTTTAAGATTTATTTTTGAACCTCAAGAAGTGGTGTGATAATTTACCTTCATGCAATTTCCACAGAGTATATATGCTGACTGAAAACAAGAATAATGTTGGTTTTTTTAAATAAAAACCTAACCAATAACAAACTACTAAAATTCAAAAGCAACAACATATTATGGCTTAAATATTCAAAAATCAAAAATGCTATGCTTACAAATAATTTCTCTTTTATTACCTCCCATTATATTTATAACATCAATACTGCACAAAGACGTCCTTTATTGTTCATTTATTTGTACAGAAGTGGTGAATTTACCTTTAAAGTCAATAAATGTGATGATACATGCTAAATATCCTTATCTATATAGTTATCCTCTGCACGTTGTAGGTTGGAGGAAAAGACATTTTAGACATGTATACTATATAAATCTGTGTACATGTAAATTGTGTGAGACTCCATCATCCATGCATAAGATTAATTTTTCCTATATATGTAACCCCTTGGTGATCCAATGAACATGATTTTTATAAAATTTGATAAGTTTTTATAGCTGTCAACAAGGCATCATTGAAAATATCCAAGCTTTACATAAATATTATATTTGTGGGCATATGAAAGTGTGTTCTTATTACCTCCTGTTATTCAAAGTTTTTTTGATGTTTTTTTTAAATGAAATTCAAAAATGCATGCAGCGATAGTCATGGGATAACTTTCTGCAACTTATTAAATTTGTCATTTTTTTCCTTTGAACATATGCTTTTGTAATGTATTAATACAAAATCAATTCCAAACAGGAAAAGTTTTCATTTCTTCATTTTGATTTTTTTTTCAATTTATTATTTCTTGTAAATGTCCTCAAAAATGAATAGACAGTCACAGGAACAAAACTTTTCTCCGTATAAAGTAATAAAATGGTGGTTTTTCTTAGCTTGGTCCACGTGGGTCAGGTTACAGCGTTAAAATTTCACAATATTGTTGTCACAGTGGACTCTGGAAACGTTTTAAGAAAATGTCAAATGAATGACTTAGGTTTTGTTTTTCAATCATACAATAGCCATGATATCTGTTTACCGCTGTAACTTCCAGGATTTGTTCAAGTCACATGACTAGTTTTAAAATAACTCGGTGATTCTGTCGGCAAGTCTAAATATCGTTCAACAAATGCAATAGATATATTTAGCTTCAAAACCCAAATTATATAAAATTTATACAGAAATTAAATGCTGGAAACTTTAACAAATGTCATTTTTAGGGTGAGTGCATAGGATTAATATTGATAGTTTTGGTCATTTATTTGCAATGAGTGTCCCTTTAAGGACCCAACCTAAAGTATGTTCCTTGTAAATAAATATGAAAACTAATGGTGAAAACAACAACAAAGGTTTTTACACAAAGCTCAAGCCGGTGCTAGGGGCGTGAGGGATGTTGCCACTTATTCATTATGCCTCCATGTAAACAGATTCAGTCAAACCGAGTCTGTAATTCTTATGTAAATTTTGTTGTGATTAGTGCTTCTGAGGGATCACTTTGTTTTCATATTTTTACACTTCACAACATCAGGTGTCAAGTGCCGTGTGGCAGCTGTAAAAAGTTGTCCCATACTTCGGACGGAGGTGCATACCAATATTTTATTCGGGCGTAAAAAATGATAAAAAATAATTAATAGGGGCAGGGTGGGTGCATTTTTGAAACAGTCATTGGTTTCACTGTAGGTTAATGATAAGTATAAAGGAATGAGGCGAACTCTGTGGTATTCTGCATTTTAACGACGATGACTCATATCGGTGAATTTGTGGTGTGATTTAAGATGGGTGCCGTTAAAAATAATTGCTTTCAGTTATAATTTTTTTTAGAGCAATGCAAAGAAACTATTATACATTTTCTTCAATTATGCCACGTATCCTTAAATTATGCTGTGCAGTTTTCCCCCATACTTTGATTTGTGTTTTGGCCAAAATAAACTTAAACAAAAATAATTTATATTTAGGTCATCTCCTCACTTATGTTAATTGGCCCGCTAGAGATCGATAATTCATACACGACTTGAAAAAGAAAAAAATAACCGGAACGATCTAAATTTAAACTTAGCAATTTATGTATGTCGTTGAGTATCATTAAGTTGCTGTACATTTTTTGTTAAATCGTAAACTAGAGAAAGTTGACTTATCACTTGATTAAATTCATCACTAAACATTAATTTATAATGAAAATAAAGCAACAATATTATTTATAGACGAAACAGTTTTTAACCCTGTTATTGTTTAAAAGGATTTTAACGCCATCATACAGAACATACTTTATCTCTCTCCAATGTAAGGTTGTTTTGTCACAGTAAGTTAGTGCAAGTTAAGCAAAACGTTACAAGTCCATTTAAGGAATACGTATCGTTGGCTATTGCAATACTGTTTTGTCTACGTTTGGTGAGGAAAATTGGAAGAAAAGTTTACAAAAAGTTACATTAAGGTGGATGGGACCTCCTGTTACAACTAAAACATCAAAATTTTCCGGAGGTGATGAAACATTATGCGGAGACGAAAACCTGACGGAGAGTCTGTTGTCTTTGTATCAAACTGACGGGACTCGAGAATGTGTAACTTTTGGTCCACAGCTTTACCAAACGATCTAAGATAATGGCGAGGTCACTGATTAAAATGGGGATTCAGAGGCACGAGGTTGTTGCTATCAACGTCCGTTGTTGTCCAGAGTGGTTATATGCTACATTTGGTGCCATGATGGCTGGGGCCCATTCCAGTCAGTATATCCTTCACGTATACTGACGGCAGTGACCTAATCGCTCTTAATGAAAAAAGATGGAAACTTGTTCGCTGCTTTATTTCTTGATCCTGGTGCCGAGTTTTGTTAATTGGAATATTCTTCGTAAAACTTCTTGACGAGTACAAAGCTGACGGGTAGAGCAAAAAGCCAGAAACATGCCATACCTAAGATATATTCTAGGGGTAAGGTTTGATGGACACCCAGATGCTTTCATATGTCAATGACATTTGGAACCTTCTAGCAGAGGACCATCCGGATGTAGAACTTCTCCCGTCAAAAACCCGAAGATCTAACTGGACTTTTCCAAAACGTTGGAAAGTACAGGAGTACCAAAACTTGTTGCGCATGTCCCAAAGATCGTCATTTAAGGCTGTCTGTAAATTAGATACACTGGAACTTTTAAAACCCTAAATATATCCTTTTTAACGACAGGCCTTTCAATTGGGGTGGTGGATATCCAGCTTCAATATTGACGGGCCAAACAAGGGTGACGTTTTCTGAATTTTGCGATCCTCCGAAGGACAGACTTTCCTTTATGATTGACGTAATAGTCAAAGAGAAATGTTCCATGATATTTGCTCTACCACCTTTGATGCATGTGCTTATCAAAAGACAGGTATATTTGATTATTTACATATGAATTTTAGAAAAAAATATACATATATATTATATAACCTTTGTCCCAATGCATGCTTACTGGATATAAAAGACGAATGTAATATTTTAGGATGGTACTGCACTCATTTCGCAACCATTGAAATAAAAAGTTTTTATCATAAAAAAAAACAAAAAACAAGAACGTATTTGGTAAACACAAATGCCCCACGCCCGATTCTCGCTTTAACTTTCTTTTCAAAAAAAATTGGCCATTCACCCAGTTATGGACAGAAAAATTGCCAAAAAAGTTGTCAATACAGTTACATGTATATAACTTGAGGCATGACGTTATGTTGTTGTGAAAAATATAGGTTAGTCTGTTATTGCTATGTTATGAAAATATTCAAGTTATAAATATTTTTTTATCAAATATATAAAATGCAAGACCTTGAAACAAGTGAGACCAAACTCCATCCAAACTTAAAGGATAACCTGAGGTATGTTTTCTCTAAATATGAAAAAAAATTGTTAAAATATACATACACTATATAAGAAAAAGTAAACAAAATCTATTGAAAGCACAGGTGACCTTGACCTTGTGACTCAAAACACTAAATCATCTAAGGTATGTTCCTTCGGAATATAAAAATATCATCAATAAATAAAGCCTGTATAAGCAAATGTTTAGAAATCTATTTTGGCACCACTGACCTTGAGCCACTGACCCCTTATCCAATTTAAAGAAAGTAGACTATGCAAGTTATCAACCTACCAAATATGAAAGACTTTATCAATAAATAAAGGCTATATGGGCAAAAGTGAAGAAAAATATACTTTACCACTGGTCACCTTAACCTAACTAACCCCTAATTCAGTCTAAAGGAAGAAGGCCACGCAAGTTATCGTCCTTCCAAATATGAAAAACACTGACTGTATATGCAAATGTGTAGAAATCTATAATTGGCAACCTTACACGAGTGACCTTGACCTCATTGGCCCCTTACTGAAGAAAAAGTAAGAGGACCATTGAAGGTATTCGCCTCCCAAATATTGAAGATATCATGATATAAATGAAGTAATTAGTAGAAATTTAATAAAAATCCAACTTAAGATATATTTAATTTGCCGTTTAAGGCTCACCATACAAATTTTCAGCAATAACTTGTACAGAATGGAAGCCATAGCTATGTTACTTGCCCAGATTGTGGGTTTTGTATCGATTAGTAAATGTGTAAATTATGAAGCCATTGGTATAGGGAGAACATCCCATTTACGCTAATCTCTTACGACAAACGGGCCGACAGACAGACGGACGATTCAATTTCTATATGCCCGGGTGCATATACATTGTAAAGCTCAAACATACAAACAACAAACAATATGCAAACTGAATAAGTTCATATTTTATATCGATATTTAGCAAAAATCGATGCAGTAAAAACACTATATGTATATTTTAGGAGGATTTGCCATATGATTGGCCAGTTGAAGGAATACTGACTGCTGGACAGCCACTTACTAAGCACTTAGCTAATTGTGTTGGGAAAGCTTGCAAATTCCTTCTGTGCACGTATGGAGGCTCAGAATTTGCATTTGCGACTGAAGCAAAGATCACTGATCCAAATGATTTTGTCGAATTTGGATGCGGAAAACCATTTAATATTCCTGGACTGGAAATCAAAATAGTGGACGAGAACGCCGAAATAGTACCCGTCAATCGGAGAGGAGAAATATACGTTCGATCAGAGATCATGTTTCTTGGCTATTTCAACGATCCGGAGAAAACAAAAGCTGTGCTCTCCGAAGACGGATGGTATAAAACAGATGATATCGGGAGGATGACCGAAGATGGTGAATTCTTTGTAGAGGGTCGAAAATCCAATATGATTATTTCAGGGGGATTTAACGTTGCTCCAGAGATTCTTGAGAATGTTATGAAAACTTTCCCTGGTGTAGATTCCATCATTATCGTACCAGTTCCGGATGACGTTTACTATCAAGTGTTGTGTGCTTGTATTGTTAAAAAGGAAGATTGCGAAATAAGCGAAGAAGATATCCGAAAGAATTGTTGCGAGTATCACGCAGACAAACCGGGACTTTTTACAGTTCTCCCGAAATACTACATGTTCTTTGAATCATTTCCTGAAACTAGAAGTGGTAAAACTCACCGGAAGGAATTGGAAAAGATAGCACTTGAACGTTTTCATAACTAAAATGGCCTCTTGGAACAGTTTTTCGTATATCTCTTTTACCCAATGACTAGCTTTTTGACTAGAGTTTACCAAAAGGTATTGCCTGTTGTACTTACCACTTTTCACTTTTTAAATATATCAAATATCATGATCGTTTAAAATAAGTTTTTAATATGAACCTTATTTAGGAATGAATGTCAACCAATATCTATGTAAAAAGACACCTAAGTAGTGTTTGCGTGAGTAAATGCATAATAAAAATAAAATGTCAGTTAAACACAATATTATGATTGTGATTGTGCTTATGATAAAACAGTCAAATGTTTAAGTAAACATAATAGTTTTATCCGAATGGACAAGTCCAACAGAGACTTTCAACACTATTGAAGGCTTTATTAAAGATGCCAAACATCACCTTGCACCTGTTGGTCTGAGCATAAAAATCTAAAAATTGGAGATTTCTTGAGAACAAAGATATCTACAAACAATGTAGAAAAAATGTAATGTCAACGTCTATTGGAAATGCTGGTGTTTTATCTTTGACGAACAACTTGTTTTAGTTTAAACATACCTTTTTTGTTCAATTGTATAGAAAACTATAAGCTAATAAACATATTCTTGAGCCAACCATGACTGTAAAGTTTTCGTCAAAGACAATGACGGCTATAAGCGATCCTTAGAATATTTAGAAACTACTCGGTCACTTTGGCAAAATGAATAAGTCATTCAACACCTTGGCATCGTGATGAACTGATGAGGGGCGGGGGGTAAAACTGTGCAAATATACGAGGTATGTTCCAATATTCTCTAAACAAGATTATTTTAAAGCTGAATTATAATAAAATAGGTACGAATCAAATATTTTAATATGTTATAAATGCATATAATTGAAATATTTCCTCACATTTAATTAAAAAATAAATATCCATAATTAATCACAGAACCGGATATCTCTTTGCTGCGTCTCACGTTTTTCAGGCGTTCCTATTTTCTATCAGATGATTTTATTTATCCGTACAAAGCTAGCGGTAGAATAAAAAGTAAGTGGTCATATTGGATGGACACCTAGAACTTTCATTTTTCATGGACATGCGAGATCTTTTAGAAGAGGACCATCCTGATGCAGAACTACCCATCGTTAAGCCAAGCGATGTGTGTGGACTCTTCCAGACATCTGGAAGAACAGGGGTACAAACATTTGTTACATATATTCAACAATTTCCATGACTGTTTTGCGAATTAAAGACCGAACCTTTTTTGAGTGAAAGTGTTGAAAAAAAAATTTCTTTAGTATTTTTTTTTTTATTTCCAAGAATTACTCGATCGGCTGCTTTCGTAAACAAAGTCTACTATCCTGCACATTTGTTTAAAGCAATAAGATAAACCATGTTCAAACCAGACATATTCCAATCAGTTCAAAGGTAGATTAAAAACACAAAATATATTATCTTTGATCGGCAGGGAAATGATACAGGCTGTTGAGATCGAAAACATACCGGCAACATATTTGAAGTTCATAAATGCTCATTTACCATAAATGTTTTACAATAAGACTGTCCCTAAAATTTTCTTACTGTCACGGTTCAGAACTGTTCAACATTTAGGGGAGAAGATGTGTAAGCGGCCGGATAGCTCAGTCGGTAGAGCCGCGGGACGGTATTCCGAAGGTCCCGGGTTCGAGTCCCGGTCAGGCTCCACATTTTTCTCACCCTGTGACATTTGGCGTCCAACGTGGGACCGTGATGGTATAAGCTCCGAGTTCAATTTCACATTGTTCTCTTTACCCATTAGAAATTCGAGGACGAATTTCAATATAGCGGGGGAGTATGTCACGATTCAGAACTGTTCACTATTTAGGGGAGAAGATGTGTAAGCGGCCGGATAGCTCAGTCGGTAGAGCCGCGGTACGGTATTCGAGTCCAGGTCAGGCTGCACATTTTTCTCACCCTGTGACATTACAATCAAATTTAACTTGAAAGATAGTCACAGATTATCAGATATACCTGGTATACATGTACCGGTAAACTGATAAAAGCTGTTTGACAAGTTTCTCATGAAAAATAGCTAATGTAATCGGATTTACATTGGGGGAAAACAGTTATGCGTGATACCTAACCAAATATTGAAAGCACACAAACTTTATGCTCTTGTTTAGAAAGGGTTAATAATACCATAGATAAATTACTAAAAAAGTAGGTTTATGCTCTAGCCCTTAATGCTCTTTGTTTAAAGGTGTGGCCAGCGAATTACTGAAATAATTTACTCAACCATTACTGCCACGTTGGTTTCACAACCTGGTATACTTATGTCCCTGTCTCAAAGTTAAATTTCTGGAAAAGTGATCTCTCGGAAGCAATAAAAACAACAAAATTATATGAAAATTGCAGACTCTGTACATGAGCGATAATGAAAAACATCAAACATCCCGCACGCCACCTAGCACCGGCTTTAGTGTTGGACTCAATATCCCCTAGGACCAGAAAAAATAAAAACACTGAAGTGAATTACGGGGCAACTTTTTACGACTGTGCGTGCGTGCGTGCGTGTGTGTGTGTGTTTTAGATAATGGATATACACAGTCAAATTTATAATGTTCGTGAAGTTCGCCAGACAGACGAAACAATTGGAACACATTTTGCTTACTTAGTCCAGCTGTCTTGACTGTTCCGGCTAGCCAGAGAAGATACAGAATATCGGTTTATTTCATGTAATGTAATTCCATGTTAGTTATACCCTCGATTTTTGGATATTCAGGCTAGCTAAATCAACCGAAACTACGGCTACATCTAATAAAGGAAAATCTGAAGTGAGTGCGTCGAGTTTAATGTGTCCGTGTGACCGCTGGTATAATTTAGTATACATGTACTAGTATTTGGTATCAGTGTGTCCGTTGAGAATGCTCAAGCTTTTGCCGACTATAAGCCGAGAATTGAAATCTAAATGGTCATTTAAGCTCATATCTCACAATTTCCGGCTGTCGCCAGTGTACACACGCCTTTAAAAATATTGTCAATATAGTTTGGACTTCTGTTTATTGAATATGTGTCAAGAGTTATATCGTATATTTATGGTGGCTGATTTGTTACACTTTTGCGTGTCGCGTTCATAGCGCCAATTAAACAGCGAAATATCGCCTTGTCGTCTTGTGCAAGATTTGGCTTATTGGTGCTTGCGACAACGAGCCATGCAACATCACGATAAGAATTCAACCCTACGATATAAGTTAAGCGACAGGACGACATGGCGATAACACACCGCATGAATACGTGCAGTTTGGCGCATTCCGCAGTGACAAGACGAAAAGACGAAACGGAAATAAATATATTTGTTGCTCAAAAGTGTAACAAATCAGCTACCATATATAACCATACATGCACAGTGCGTTAATTGGAGTGCAGGTATAAGTAAACTATAATGGTTGATTTTGAACACTTTGTGCTTCGTGTTGTCGCTAGTGACAGCACGACAAAGCGCCAAACAGCTTGTCGTCCTGTCGCTAACGATGCACGCCAAACGGCACGTTGTCGTGCGGTCTGTTGTTGCGATGTTACATCGTCGCTCAGCTCATATTAAGGATTGGCTATTTGTATACATATATGCTGAGCGACAGGGCGTAATCGCGACAACGCGTGTTTCGCTAGCGACACCATGACAAGACGCAAAATACGATAACGATGTAGGTTGTGTTGTCCCTATTGACAGCGCAATGCGCAAAGTGTACAAATCAGCCACCATAGTAACCCGCACTCCAGTTACCACACTGTCTGTCAGGGATATAAAAAGGTATGCTCGGTGATTGGCTCATTTTTTTCTGGTGTTTACTTATTGTGACATAACGACAACGAAAAGTCATATTCATCTGACATTGATAAGCTCGTACATTAGTTACTTTTTTCTGGTGGTTCATATTGTGACGACAATTAACGTGTTTTTACTTTTGCCTAGTATGATAAACAAATAAAAACTCTCGACTTTGATTTTACCCGAGAGCTACGCCCCCCACGTGCAAAACCGATAGTCTCGTGTTTCGATGCTCTTCTATTACTATCATCCATGCTTGCTATTTTCGTTTTATAGATAATAAAATATACCTTAAAAATAATGGCAGGGTTAGGGTTGACAAAAGCAAATTGGCCTGTATATAATAAGTTTACTGTGAGGTTATATAGATAATATAAATCAGTGTTTAAATGAAAAATACGTTAATCCTACACAGCTCGTCATCATATTTTGATTAAACTTTTGCTTGTCATCTGATATCACAAACTTGGCGTAATATTTTGTTTAATGATTTGCTTGACCTTGATAACACAAACCAATGAATTTATATTCCTGAATCTGTAGATAGTTATTGGAGTTCACTCTCATACATGTATTTTGGCTGACTAAATATTTGCAAAATTTCTAAACTTTGCGTGCAAGATTAATATTTACAACTACTGAACGTATCCACCTGCAATTTTTCATATGTCTTAGGGATCTACCTTTAACTCGAGCTAAGCTTTTGACTTAATAAACTTAGAACATTCCTCGTTATACTGTATGGCTTTGTGTGCAAGATCAATTTCCAAATCCATTGAAGATTTTCACATGTCTCAAAGACACAAAACAGTTGCATGGGTATTGCTTGGAATATATATCCCGTTTAGATGTCAGGAAAATACTGATTAAAATTTTGGTTGCCAGTTAAGTCTACCCCTCAACTAAATGTATTTACACTGTATTTCGCATGTCGCGCCAATATAACACTTATGGTCACAGTATCAAAGACAAATTGCTCTAGCAAGGATGTGGAGTGAATTATAGTTGTTTTTTTAACTCAGAAAATATGAACGCCATGGATTATAAGTAAACTATTTCCTTTTGCGAATCCGTACGTTATCCACGTTCTCATATGTCATACACGACCTTGAAATAAAACAAGAGCAGGATACAATACGACCTTCAAATTGATATTAATAGGCTATAGAAAAATGATTTAACCACGGAATTTTTCAAAGTGAACGAGTTAAAATAATCACTTAACATGATTTAAGGATTTAAAGGTTTTGTATAAAATAAGCGGGCACTATCACAGACAGTCAATCACTTTAAATATAACAGCACAAAACCAGGGCAGGTGTTATAAACTTGATATGGTTTTATGAAATTGCATGCAGATAATATATAATGCATGTCACATATATAGAACAAACTGTAATTTATCTTGTTTGTAGATAAGTTTGTCGTAAGTTTGTGCATGTCAAGAAAACCTTATAAATTAGTTCATTTAAGGATACGTATCGTTGTTTTTAACCAAGTTGTATGTACATTGTGTGGAAATATGGCAGAACAATTAACAAGAAGCTACATTAAGGTGGATTTACCTGTCTGGACGCTTAAACATCAAACTTTCCCGGAGGCGATGAAACATTATGCGGAGACGAAACCTGACGGTGAGTCTGTTGTCTTTGTATCAACTGACGGAACTCGAGAATGTGTAACTTGGTTTCAGCTTTACCAACGATCTCAGATAATGGCGAAGTCACTGATAAAAATGGGGATTCAGAGGCACGAGGTTGTTACTATCAACGTCCGTTGTTGTCCAGAGTGGTTATATGCTACATTTGGTGCCATGATGGCTGGGGCCATTCCAGTCAGCATATCCTTCACGTATACTGACGGCAGTGATCTTATCGCTCTAATGAAAAAGATGGAAACTTGTTCGCTGCTTATTCTTGATCCTGGTGCAGACAGTATTAATTGGAATATCCTTCGTAAACTTCTTGACGAGTACAAAGCTGACGGTAGAGCTAAAAGTCATCAAATGCCATATCTAAAATATGTTCTAGGGGTGAGATTTGATGGACACTCAGATGCTACATTTGTCAAAGATATATCAGACCTTTTAGCAGAGGATCATCTCGAAGTAGAACTTCCCGTCATTAAACCAGACGATCTATATGGACTTTTCCAAACATCTGGGAGTACAGGGGTACCAAAACTTGTTTCAAACGCTCATAAATCGGCATTGAAAATGGCTGGTGCTTTAGACATTTCTGAAGTTTTAAACCCCAGATATATCCTATTCAACGACAGGCCATTTAATTGGGGTGGCGGATATCCGTTTTCAATATTGACAGGCCAAACAAGGGTGACATTTTCCGAATTTTGCGATCCTCCGAATGACAGACTTTCCTATATGATTAACGTAATAGTCAAAGAGAAATGTTCCATGGTTATTGCTCTACCACCTCTGATAAATGAGCTTATCAAAAGACAGGTATATTTCATCATAAAACATTTTAAAAAACGTGATCTCATATGTATTTGTTTTTAACCGACCATAATCACTAGATTTAAAGAACGCTTTAATAATTGTAAAATATCACTGATAACAAATCAGCCGAAAAGTGTGTATGTTGGGGTGGGGATTGTTTGTGGGCTTTTATAGTTTTTAATCATAATATGTAGTTTTTGTTTTTGCTTTTATCACACATATTATATAAATGTGATATTGATACTACATATATACGATAAACAATTCAGTAGTAAAAGTATAAAGTATAATAATGACATTTCTTTTTTTATAATTTTCAAGGAACATTTGCCAGATGATTGGCCAGTTGAAGGAATACTGACCGTTGGACAGCCACTTACTAAGCACTTAGCTGCCTGCATAGGGAAAGCTTGTAAATTCCTTCTGTGCGTGTATGGAGGCTCAGAGTTAGGATGTGCGACTGTAGCAAAGATCACTGATCCGGATGATTTCGTCGAATTTGGATGCGGAAAACCCTTAAATATTCCTGAAATGGAAATTAAAATAGTCGACGAGAATGCGGAAGTAGTACCCGTCAATCGGAGAGGAGAAATATATATTCGATCAGAGGCCATGTTTACGGGCTATTTCAATGATCCGGAGAAAACAAAAGCTGTCCTCTCCGAAGACGGATGGTATAAAACAGATGATATCGGGAGGATGACCGAAGATGGTGAATTCTTTGTCGAGGGTCGAAAATCCAATATGATTATTTCAGGGGGATTTAACATTGCTCCAGAGATTCTTGAGAATGTTATGAAAACTTTCCCAGGTGTAGATTCCGTCATTATCGTACCAGTTCCAGATGACGTTTACTATCAAGTGTTGTGTGCTTGTATTGTTAAAAAAGGAGATTGCGAAATAAGCGAAGAAGATATCCGAAAGAACTGCCACGAGTATCACGCAGACAAACCGGGACTTTTTACAGTTCTTCCGAAATACTACATGTTCCTTGAATCATTTCCTGAAACTAGAAGTGGGAAAACTCACCGGAATGAGTTAGAAAGGATAGCACTTCAACGATTTCGTTAGAGTACTTTCTAAGATATATTAAATATAAATGTCGTGTAATATACGATAATTATGTTCTATGATATTTCTCTTACGCTTAAACCAATTTTATACGTAGACAAATATAAATGGTGAGTGTACGATTAAAATACGAACGCATGATGAAGTATTTGTATATTTTTTATGTCAGAAGTAGTAAAACTCACCGAAATGAGTTGTAAAGGATAGTATTTTAAAGATTTCATCAGAGTACATCATAAGATTCTTTAATCATAAATGTCGTGTAAATGTGCGATATCTTTTATGACAACCCTTGTAGTTGTAACTTAATAGAATATGTAAAATATGATAGATGATGAAAAAGATGACAAAATGCCTGTTAAGAGTAGGAACACATGCAGAAAGAAATGACTAATTTGCGTATTAGTACAACAACAAATGATCATTAAAAAGCCGTAAAAGATTCCATTGCGCGAAATAAATTTGATGTTTACATGTACTCTAAAGATTTTTTGTTAGTGATTAAACAGAAATAAATTTTACAAAAAATTGATTAAAATTAATTCAATTCCTGATAGGTTGTTCGAACACAGTGTTTAAAACATAGGAAAGAATCTACATACGATTATGGTTTCTATCTATTTAACCCCTATTGCCGAATCAGATAGACTAACAGTAGCACAAAGTTTTCAAAGATATATTAATTAAAATCATGGTATTTGTCGTTCGTCTGTCTGTACACCAAAAACATCAAATGGTTTATAAATTTAATTCCACTTCATTCCGAAAGAACAAAACTTTTATTGCTTTATGTCGGAAAATGCCAATTTAAGTTAAAAAAAACAACATCTCAACCATTAACCAAACACTTAGAACGTCGATCCGTTCGGCTGTCCGTTAGTTGCATGTATAAATAAATAAATAAATATACGGTGTTCTGCCTCCTTAATAATAGGAAGGTAGTCAATGCAAATAAATTACCGTAGTGACCGTAGTGATTTTGAGGTCATTATGTTAAAGGATATAGTATCACATACACTTAGTGACTCGTCTGGTCAATGACTTAAGAAGGAACTAGCCAAGGATTGCGAAATTTGGTCTTGACAATACCCATGATCATTCGATAATCCCTATTGTGTTTTAGGTTAATAGATTAAATGTCAAGGTCACAGTGACACTTGTTTTAAAATCACTGTTCGCTAAATAACTTGAGAAGGGGGAAGACTACTTTTGTGACACTAGGTAGGAAAATTCACAATAAAAGTTAAAGACTCACTTTCATTTTGAGATCATTAGTTAAAAGGTCACGGACACAGTTACAATTTGTATAAATTTCTTGTCCGATAAATAACCAAAGATTATTTAAATTTGAAGAACATTGCCCATGACACGTTGATGACCCTTTCTATTTTTGGTGTAATTTAGCCAAAGGTGAAGATAACATTGACTCTTGTATAAAATCCTTATCAATCAGTAACTTGTTATGAGTTTTGTATGAATTTTTACTTGAGTCTTTACACATTTTAACATTATACAAAACGCAACAGCACATATTTCGGTCGTACATTGCTTCTTGTTAGGACATAAACAGTGTCGATTAAAAAATGACCTCTATATAAAGAGGGTTAATTGAAACCAATAAAATCTTTAGCTGCACATACTGAAAGCAAAGGAGAGTTAAGGAATTTAAATAATAGTACCGCAAAGGCGGGTTAATATAGAGGTGTACAAGGTAATGTTATATACAAAATATAGAGTCATAGTAGTTATCCCCAAATGATAATATATATACTAAAAGATAGTTACAAATATTCTACTTATTTAAAGATGAATAGTTATTATAAAATAAGTGAAGTTATCGCAAATAAACAAACGCATGATAGATTCTTATTAAATCACAAATTACTGCGTTACATAGTGAGCCGGCGGGCATAGGGTTTCAGTTCATAAATTTAAGTAGAGCTACCCGAAATTTGTAATGTGATAAAATGGTTTATTCATATATGTATTTCGGGAAATTATGTCCAGCGTCGATAAAACATCACAACGCGTTGTAGATATAATGAGTGACACGCGCTCTGATCGTAGTAATTAGGAAATGCGTATGCGGTCCAGGTGTCTCCCGGGCATGGCCAATGTTGACATGCGGATCAGTATTAATATAACTTTTGTAGAAATCTACAAATTGTGATGCTACATGCTAATTGTCTCAGCTCTTGGCTTTGTAGTTTCACGAAATAAGACTTAAATGTGTTTTCCTATCAAGTCAATACAAATCAAGTGACCCCTGGTCGGGTCAACATTGACTCCAGAAAGCCTAATAACTAGTTAAACAAGGTAATGCTACATGCTTAATATCTAAGCTCTTGGCATCGAAGTTTCACAAGACTTAAATGTGTTAAATTCTATATAAAAATCAAGCATCATTTAATTACAAAAAAATTAAATGAAAATTGCAGACTCGGTTTGATCGAGTCTGTACAAAAGGGATACTGAAAAAGTGACTTCCGAGGTCGGCCATATATTAAACCAAGTGGCATAATTAAAAATTAATTATAGCTTTGTGGAGGCCAATAAGGAAATTCTGCATTCCCAATATCTAAGCTCTGGGCATTGTATTTTTTTCACACGATAAGACTCAAATAAGTTTTCCTGTAGAAATTTGTATAACATATTTGATTCCAGGGGCAGGGCCAATATTGACCCATGAGACATGACTAATACCAGTTTTTTGCATAGGTTAATAAAGCAAAGCTACATGCTTAATATTTATGCTCTAGACATTGTAGTTTCCGACAATAAAAAATAAGTGTTGTTTCCAATGTAAGTCTATATAAATCAATTAATACCAAGGGATGGGCCAATTTTGACCTCAGGAAGCCAAAAACTGCTCTGCACATCGTCTCATTAAAAGGAATATTTCTGCCATAGAGTTGTATTTTTTTCTATCGTTTAAAAAGATACAAACGGACCAGTAAACAGTATTCTTTGAAAACATATCAATTGCGAAACTATCATTTTGCTTATAACATGTAAAATGTTTAATTCAAGAATACGAAGTTTATATTGAGAATATCGGTAAAAAGCAAATTCAGCTATCATTTCCCGATTTTACTGTTAGGCTTCTATAAAAATGCAACGAAGGAAGTACAGTCGAATCTTCTCGGCACTTTCCGTCAATTCGGATAAGGTCCAAGAACGAAACAAGTAAAATGGTTTCCTGCGGGGAATGATATTTTAATAATATATATATATATTAATTTCATTAGACCTCTGGAAAGTAATAAACCAATCAAACATTGAAGTCAGTCAAGCATGTTGATAGATAATGATCTCTGCCAAGCCCCCCAGGCAGGAGATTAACTGGATGACAGCAATAAATGTTTTGATAAGGGAGTACACTACATCCAATAAAGTTTGAAACTGACAAAAAATATAGTTGACAATAATCGATCAAAATAGAAGACTGGTGACCGTTGATGACCGGAGAAGGTCGAAATAAAACAATTACATGTACATGTATTTCTTATTAAGAAAATGATTAAATAAGCCTACCATTTTATGAATAATTCCAAGCAAAAAAATAAAATAAAGTAAACACACAAGTTTACGCAGAAAATATCTCTATTTATTATGACAGATGCCACTACGAATATTTTAATTTTGTAGATTTTCAGTATAAACAATTTATTGTTTATAAAATTTGAGATAAAATGATAATTTTCAAATACATCATTCAAGTTTTTTCCACCTTAAACGGTAAAATAATTATAGAAAATTAGAAATATCACGTAATAGTTTTTTGTTATTAATTAGGTGTAATTCTGACTAATTCCCTAGAGGTAACGTACCGACAAACGGTATTTAGCCAGGTTTTCGAAAAGGTCAATTAACCAATCGTGTACGGTTTACAGATCACATGCTCCTCCATGTAGCGAAAACAGGTCACGTGCTCCTCCATGCCTCAAAAGTTAAACGCGTACCAATACCCTGCGGTCTCCAGACCGCAGGGAATAATAACACGGATAACACAGAACAGATATTTAAAGTATTACGGTCTGACCTACGCTAAGAAATTAAACAAACACTAAACAAGTAGTAATTCAATGATGGGAGAAGTTGACTTAATTTACTTCAAGATATCGAATAATTTTAAGTCCACCTAGTTACATGCTCCGGAATTAAGACCATCCCGGTTATCCATTTTTAAGACCACCAGATTCAGTCCCAATTCTTTGATTTATTATTTATTTGAACTCACTATTGAGACCACTAATTTTAAAGTCAACACCTAGCAAGATCACATATTTGTTGTTATTATCTGCTCGAATGCTCTTGGGCATGACACCTTATCTACAACCACGCGATAGAAACACTTTCAGTCCATATGAAGTCTCACATTTCTGAGAATAAAATTGTTACGATGACAGGACGACGTGTTGTGGCAGTGTTTAACATAATGAAATTTCTTGAAAAAGGGTGATCCTTCAAAGAACATAAATAAATATAACCAGCACTTTAGTAGAAGTAACAGAATACCTGATATATTACTAAAAGCGTGGCAGTGGGCATATCCGAGCTATGACACCATGAAATTAATTAATAACACAGACAAAGCATGGGAAACATTTCATATTTCTCTGTCTGTGTAATTCTTTCTTGTTTGTGTTTAGGAAATGATCTATATTTTCGGTATTTACACGAAACTTAGCATTCTGTTAGCTTTCGTATGTATGTGTGACTCTCTGAATGGAGATAAGAAAGTTGACAATCAAGCATTGACGGAGCCAAACAAGTATGAAACTTTGGGAAAAAATGTGAAAATCAAAACGTATGACTGGCTTAATTTGACATTTTTGATATACATGTAGTCACATATTTTCACTGTAGGTTTGTTTTAAGTTTAAAAGAATGGGGCGAATTCTAAAGTATACTGAAGATGGTCCATATTTGGTATATTTCACATGTTCAACTAGTTAACTAGTTACTTGGGTATAAGATTTTGAAATATTTAAACTTTTGTTTTGGCTACACTGAACTTCTAAAATATCTAATTTAGGTCCTCTGCCCGCTTTATGTATTTGGCCCATAAGGGACCGATGATTCATACACGACATTGAAATAGAAAATATAACAGGCAATATAATCATCTCGTTGATTTATCATTAAGTAATCGTAAACTTGATCAAGAAAGTTGAATTTATCACTAGGTTAACTTAGAACGAAATCAAGGAACAATATTTTTTTTATAGACGAATCAGTTTAATCAGTTTTATACAATGTTTCAAAACAAGACCTTTATATCACTGAAGCAATTTGCAAAGAAAAAATAAGTTTTATATATAATGATAGAGGGTATACAATATATCTCTTCAACGTAGGTCTCAGTCTGTTGCATGTTAGTAAGTTCAAATTAAGAACACCTTACAAGTAAATAAAGATACGTATCGTTGGGTGATGCAGTACAGGCACGTTAACATTATGATAAAACGGAATTTGTATTGACTTTAAATCAGTTTATCTGTATAATGTATGCAATATTAGTTCATAACAAATACCAGGTCATTTACCTTTTACCTTGTGAAGGGTAAACTATGCAAATATACTAAGGTTGCCCCAATATTCTGTGACAAGATTATTTAAATCTTAATTAAATAAATACGAATAAGAATATTTTAATATGGTGTATTTTCATCAATAAAATGATGGCATAAATACAATGGCAACCACGTGAGTTGCGGTGCACGCCAAACGTCAAATATTGAATGTTACCTACATCAATTGCCTTTTGAAAAAGTACTCGGCGCATAAACGGTGCCGCATTACAAACGATCCGTCAGAAAACAATATTCAACCTAGTGTTTGTTTTCCTCTGTAAAACGCTTTGGTGAAAGACATTAATTCCTCGCAAGACTTGAACTTCCGGCCCGTAAAAACTGATTTAGTTGTTGGAAATAGGCTATAGAGATCGGTCTTTCTATGCGTGTTTGCTTATTTTATATAGCATAGTTCCCTCTACCGTCCATGAAACTTGTAAAGAGGTACTCGCGTTATGTTGCTAAACTGATTTTTTCAGTGTATAATTATTCCGGTATAATTCCGAAAAATTCACAGAACCGGATTACTCATCGCTGCGCCGCACGTGATTATAGCTTTCCTATTTTCTATCAGATGTCAAGGACGACGTTTGGGATAACCCTCGTAAATCACCTTGTAATATGTTGTCTCTTTTTATAGATAATCGGGTATTTGGAGCAGAAATATTAAAGACCCTTCAGTCTAAAAATTCTTTTATTTTCATTTTTCAAAAGCCTTTATTTGCCCGACTATCCGAAGAATGGTAGGGTTATTCTTCTCACCTTCTCACCCAAGCGCCGATTAAAGATTTGCACGTAATATCATATCTGAGGAACAGCCTATGATATTCGCATGTAAATTCACACACTTATTTTAAAGCATAATACTAGGTCACCGTAAAAGGCATAATCATGGATTTGAACAGAATTATAACCATTTTTGAACCTGGTTTAAGCTTTGCATGCAACACTTAAAACTTTATACATGTCTTTAGGATCATTACAGGAGGTCATTATCAAAAGCTCACAATTCTCTCATGGATTTTGAGTGAATTACGGTCATCTTCAATTTGCAAAATAATTGGTTAAGGCGTTGCGTGCAACAGTTATCTTCAAAATATCTAATGATTTCCCTCAAAACGTACTACATGTCTGCGTTATAATAATTAAAGGTCAATATTTAAGATCCATAACTCTCACAATGATTTTGACTGAATTATAGCCCTTTTCAAACATAGGATATTGTTGATTTAAGGTTCTCATGCAACATAATCTCCATAACTTTGAAAACTTGTCTTTGAATACATGTTTTTGGACACATAATGGGTGGTCACTATGCAAGGCCCATAAATGTTACTAGAAATTTCGACTAAATATGGCCCTTTGTGAATTTTGAAAATTCTTTGTTTAAGTTTTACTTTCAGCAGAAATCTTCAAAGTCACTTGAAACATAATTCATGATTTGAATTACAATCCAAGGTCATTTTCCAAGGCCCATAAATCTGGCATGGATTTTGAATGAAATATTGTCCTTTGTGAATTTGTGAATTCTTTAGTCAATATCCAAGACTCATTAAGATGTGATGCACATTATTTGCTTTTTTGTGAATGAAATCTTTTTCGGCTCAGACTCTCTAGTTTTACTTCCATAGGAGGAAAAGCATCCAAAATGCTCTTAACCCCTTATTAAAACTTTATGAAACTTATGTTTGTCCTTTCTAAAGGAGGAAAGATTTAATCGTTTCAAAACGTGCATTTAAAGTTCAATTGAGGGTATAAATTTATCACGGAGGTGATCAAACTTTATGCGGTGACGAATCCTGATGGTGAATCTATGATGAGTTTTATATGTCATAATACACATGATACACATATACATACTTTATCTCTCTTCAATGTAAGTCATGTCTATTGTCAGAAAGTTAGTGCAGGTTAATAAACCCTTACAAGTAAGTTCATATAAGAATACGCATCGTTGGCAATTGCAATACAGTTGTATATACGTTGTCAGGAAATATAGCAGAAATGTTTACAAGAAGTTACATTAAGGTGGATGGACCTCCTGTTACACTAAAACATCAAACTTTCCCGGAGGTGATCAAACATTATGCAGAGACAAAACCTGACGATGAGTCTGTTGTCTTTGTAGCAACTGACGGAACTCGAGAATGTGTCAAGTGGTTACAGCTGTACCAGATGTCTCAAATAATGGCGAAAGTACTGATAAAAATTGGGATTCAGAAGCACGAGGTTGTTGCTATCAACGTCCGTTGTTGTCCAGAGTGGTTATATGCTACATTTGGTGCCATGATGGCTGGGGCCATTCCAGTCAGTATATCCTTCACGTATACTGACGGCAGTGATCTTATCGCTCTTATGAAAAAGATGGAAACTTGTTCGCTGCTTATTCTTGATCCTGGTGCAGACGGTATTAATTGGAATATCCTTCGTACACTTCTTGACGAGTACAAAGCTGACGGTAAAGTAAAAAGCCAAAAAATGCCATACCTAAGATATGTTCTAGGGGTAAGGTTTGATGGACACCCAGAATTATCTAATGTCTTAGGCTTACGAGACCTTTTAGAGGAGGACCATTGTGATGTAGAACTTCCCGTCGTTAAGCCAACCGATGTATGTGGACTCTTCCAGACATCTGGAAGCACAGGTGTACCAAAACTTGTTACATATATTCAACAATCATCTTTAAAGATGTTTTGTGAATCCAATGTTTTCGAACTTTTAAATCCGAAATATATCCTTTTTAACGACAGACCATTCAACTGGGGTGGTGGGTATCCATGGTCAATATTTACGGGTCAAACAAGGGTGACGTTATCTGGGTATTGCGATCCGTCAAAGGACAGACTTTCGCATGTGATTGACGTAATTGTGAAAGAAAGGTGTTCCATGATATTTGCTCTACCACCTTTGATGCATGAGCTTATAAAAAGACAGGTATATTGGATTATTTGCATATTTTTTTTTAATTTTAAAAGATAGTCCCTGATGTATTGACATGTTATATTATGAATTAGCTTAACCAAAATGTTTGATTTTTAAGGGTTGATACATTTGTAATAAACAATAGCAGACACGTAGCTGGACTGGAAACAATGTGCATGACTCTTATGCGAATAGAAGAGCGGACATTTCGCTAGAGGGTCTAAGGGCATGCCTCTTTAGAATAATTAGATACCTTTAATTGAAAATAGTGACTGGTATATATTTTTGGATGAAAACGCTGGAACAAAAATGTTATTAGCATGTGGTTACTTACACTAATACTAACTATTAATGTCCAAAATTCAAGTGTCACTGCGCTGTTACATTAAAGGAAGTACATTCCAGCTATACAAGATAAAGCATGTTCAAACCAAATATACCCCAATCAGATCTATTATAAACACAAAATATTTCTTCTATGATCAGCAGTAAAATGATCCAGGGTCTTGAGATCGAAAATATTTCCAGCAACATAACAGTTTTAACTTAAAAAGAAAATATCTAAAGCTTCCAAGAAGACTGCATGCATTATAAAACCAAACCTTATTTGCTTCGTGAATTACATCGTTAAGTTTATTAATTCTTTTATGTATATAAATTTAAACTTCAACATGAATATATGTTTTTACCACAATCTGCTTCTTAAGTAGACAGCTTAAACCAAAATCCTTATGATGTCCAGACAGTTTCGTACGTAGGGCATGAATTATTCAAAACATTATATGTACTCAGTAAAGATATTTACAAATATAAGGTCATAACTGCTGTCTGAAACCATTGATAATATTAGATTAAAATAATAGGTTACATGTGGATACGTGAATATGCTAATTTGCCTAAGGAATTATTTGTTAGAAAAAAAACATTTACGAGTAACAATATAAAATACAAAAAATAAAGGGGGTAAATAAGCAACAAATGCATTTGAACAATTTTTATATATACCTTCAAACACGTACATATTTTAAAAAACTAATGATTTTAATCTAAAATGCATAGACCTATATTACATAACTTATATATAAGACTATGTAAATGCGAAACGTTCAAAGAGAACCAAGTGAACAAAATGCTGACTACTCTTTATTAATATGGACTTCAGATTTTTTTTCTCCAAAACATCTGTCATATTGTTAACAACCTGCACACTCACTTTTGTCTCGTATATATTTTTTATATCATTTGATATTCCAGAGAGATTTGCCAGATGACTGGCCGATTGAAGGTATACTGACTGCTGGACAGCCTCTTACTAAGCAACTAGCTGACTGTGTTGGAAAGGCTTGCAAATTCCTTCTGTGTACGTACGCAGGCACTGAATTTGGAGGTGCGACTGAAGCAAATATCACTGATCCGAATGATTTCATCGAGTATGGATGCGGAAAACCTTTTAATATTCCTGGACTGGAAATTAAAATAGTGGACGAGAACGCCGAAATAGTACCCGTCAATCAGAGAGGAGAAATATATATTCGGTCGGACGACATGTTTACGGGCTATTTCAATGATCCGGAGAAAACAAAAGCTGTGTTCAACGAAGACGGATGGTATAAAACGGACGATATCGGGAGGATGACCGAAGATGGTGAATTCTTTGTAGAGGGTCGAAAGTCCAATATGATTATTTCAGGGGGATTTAACGTTGCTCCAGAGATTCTTGAGAATGTTATGAAAACTTTCCCAGGTGTAGATTCCGTCATTATCGTACCAGTTCCGGATGACGTTTACTATCAAGTGTTGTGTGCTTGTATTGTTAAAAAAGAAGATTGCGAAATAAGCGAAGAAAATGTCCGAAAGTATTGCCGCGAGTATCACGCAGACAAACCGGGACTTTTCACAGTTCTTCCGAAATACTACATGTTTTTCGAATCGTTTCCTGAAACTAGAAGTGGAAAAATTCATCGGAAGGAGTTAGAAAAGATAGCACTTCAACGATTCGTCAGTGAATAAGATCTTACAACACAATGCTTCGACTTGTTTTCTTCATTTTTTAAAAAAAAATTATAATGCCTGATAAAATTCACGATTTTACCAACTGTTTGGATATTCTTATGAAATATTTCTGAAAAGCAAAATGTTGGAAGAGTTCTAAAGTGATTTAGAAGTAACATACATATGAGTTCTAGAACACTATATTATCTGCTGTAGATTGATACGTTATGTCGGATTATGTAAACAACATCCATTTGTACTTCGTTCGCATTTTGTTTTCACGCATGGTACTGAATATTATCAACATAATAATTTATGGAATAACATACCTTCCATTATATAGATCAAGGGGGTAATGACCAAGCTCCTAAAGAACAGAGACATTTGATAAAAGTCATGGGTGAACTATCTGGTGTGATACAACATACATAAAATAACTAGAAGTTAAATTCATAGGCGTGAAGTAAACTGTATGCTTATGAATTATGACAATTTATTAATATTTAAACCTTGATCTAATTTGAATTTTAAATATACCAAATAAACAGATTATTTAATACTGAATGACTTATATTTAATTGTTGAGCTAATGAAGTTTAGAATATTTTCCGATTTGATTGATTTGATTTAATTCTTTAGAAAATACAATAGACGTTTGCTTTGGACATGAGAGGTAGAACCTTGCTGTCTATGAAAAGGCTGAATCTAACAGAGCCTATAAAGTTTTCAAGTTCAAAGTGTTTTGAGTTTAATCAGGTTATGATTTTGTCTATTTCAGAAACGTGTAAATGTCCTACATCCATTCATGTTTAATAAGTTTTCCATATACGTGTACATTGTATGTATTTTGTGGCCTGCAATTGCCAGTAAGCCGGTTTAGCATACCATAAAATGCTAGAATTTAGCATGCTTTGGAGCAATGAAATACACGAATGATTGTAAAATCATGTATCCACACATTTATATTCATGCGTGATTTCGCTAACAATAAAGTAAAAATATCTTGGTATTATATGCACACTTCACATAATGAAGTAAAATGATGAGATGTGTATTAACAAACGGTGTAAGGGAAGGTAATCTTTCAACTGAATAAAGTAGTATTATTGATATATATATCTTTATTAATCTTTCTATCTGAGACCTATTTCATTACACTAGTACACATGTTTATACCATTAAATAGCTTTTAAACATTATACAAACGTGTATATATTATGATGCCGACTATATATATAATCTCGTACAAACCAAGCTAGTGATCTTAAATTTTATGCAACATTAGTTTCAATCTGCATCAATCATAAACATAATGTAATGTTACGGTTTTTTGGCAACAAATTTGCCTGCATTCTATGTTAACTTTGTTAACCCTGCATCATTACTTATTACACATGCGTGTTCTAACTTAACTTAAATCATATGTTACAACAGGCTGCCAGGACATGCTCCTATTCTCACATAACTTTCTCTTAAATTACAGGACCATTGAGGTATTGAATATCAAAATCTTTCCTATAGGTCATGGTGTAGTTTATAAACTGATGATATATTTCGCTTTCTAAATGAATAAATATGATAAAATACAGATAACAAAGCAAGCTCTGCATTAATCTGTATTTTCACTTTTTTCTTTGATCTTGTTTACAATTACCTTTTTATACAATAGCTTTAAACCAAAAATACATACGAACTTAAATAACTGTGCCGATAATATACGAATCATGCAAGCGAATTTTGTGAAAGGTTTTGAAAATGAGTTTTTACATTTTCTAATGTCACTTTTATGCCACCGTATTTTCTTTTATAAAAGAGTAAGATTTTTTTTCCATAAACATCAGCATTCGTATTATGTCACCAAAATGTCATTACTTTTTACACATGCGTTTTTCGTCCACCAATCGCCGACATTTTTGATAGATTTCTTAAATTGCCTGAGATTATTTAACTTAAAGCATAAGTTGCAATACGCTATCTGGGCATGTTCTTGTTCTCCTAAAACTTTAAAATGGTCTTTAAGCTTCAGAATGTCCGTATAGCTTTCATCGTCCGATCCAAGTTTATTCAAATATCGAGCAAGTGATTTAGGCGATGTAAAATCATTTGTATCTATAAAGGTTCCTTTAGGGAGAAACTTCTGATAATCCCTGACACCTCTCACCACTATGATGATATCTCTGGAATACCACTTAAATGCCTTCTCAGTTATGTAGTCGATGCACAATGAGTTTTCAAATGCTAAGTAAAACTAAGTACTTTTTTGCCAAATCAATCTCGCAATTCAACTCTATTGGACATGTTGATGATTTGTTTGTATTGCACCTACCAATAATTGTCACATTGGGAAATTTTGCCAGTCCTTCGACATAAGACTCACGCTTACTTTGAGTTTGACAATGACTTACCATCCAAAGAAGAGATTCTGTTTTCTCCCGGATTATTTTACTATAGTTTTTATTAATGTCTCCAGTATAACCGTTCTTTTCAAAATTTGCAATAGTTGCACTATATTGTCTTTTAAAATTATTTTCACTTTCCATGTCATTGAATACGTTCTCTTCGGCCGTATCATTGGAAATAACTGAACCATAGAGATATTGAATATCAGAGTCTGTCCTATACCGGTAGGTCATAGTGTAGTTAAAATAATTACGATATATTTCGCTTGAAACATTGGAAAAAAAAATGAGATAAACCGGAGATTCCATTGAAACAAACACAAACACTTGGTCGTCATCTCTGTGCTGAGGTATTTCGTTTGGGATATTGCCACCCTGAAACAAGATAGCGTCTGCCTCTATAAAGTTCTTTGATGTTTCTTCAATATACACTGTTTCACAGTTTTGATAATGGAAACATTTGGATAAGTTTGAATTTATACGATGATCCTTTAACATACCATGATCAGCTCCGTAAAGTGCAATCACAAACTTCTTTTGCGTTAAGTTTCCTTGTGATTCATTGCCATTCCTTATATTTGATGAGCCCTTGCCATTCGATTTATGGACAGAAATATTTTTAAGAATTTCACCTGCATTGTTTTTCGCAAATACGTTCACAAGAAAATGTGAAGCCAAGTAACTCATGGTATAACTTACTTCAGACTTCATGTTTAGAATTAAAGCACATACCACCAGTATTGAAAAAATACACAAGGTCTGTACATTTTTTGCTGGCATAGTTTCCTTCTTACCTGAATTTGAAATAGATAAAATTATTATTAACACAATAGATTGGACGCAAATACATAAATAAAGTGATAGTAATCATTGTATGTAGTTTCTTCTTTAAATCTATTTCATATTTTGAGCTATCTGATACTCAGAAGACGAAAAAAGAAATGTTTCATGAAAGAATATTTTGGGTCCAATTTGACCCAGTTTGAGGTCACTAGTTTTCCCTAATTTTTTTTTATATCGAAATCTTAAACATATTCTTCTTTTACACCAAGTGCAAGAGGTGAAATGTCGACTTGTAACAAGATTGTTCAAATTATTGTCGCCGGATCCGGAGGGTCATGGACTTTGCTTAGTATGTAACATATCCTGCTCTGAAACCACATGGGCTACACATTGTCTAGTTTACCTCTAACGAGATTTCAAATTATGAACCTTGCATAAAAATTGACAAGCCGTGGGGTTCATTATTTTTTACACAATTTTATGAAGAGGTACTACTACTTTTTTTTGAGAACATTGTCGAAAACGTTCCTTCTATTATAGAATAAAAAAATGTGAACATTTAAACTTAATACAAACTCTCTTTAATGCCAATATTGACCAATGAATACTAAAATGTTTATTATACAACTTGTCTAATGACATAGAATGCTATTATATGATATTACGAGGTATGATCAAAAAGTTCTCGGCCCGATATACTTCTAGCCACTACACTAACATTTACACACAATAAGTCGATACCGATATATTATTGAAGATTACTGACCGAGTTACACGCGGTTTTACACAGATTAAGTAACATAAAACACACTTTGATCAGTAGAGGGTGTGTCATTTAGACCAAAATAGAGAAATTTGAAATCAGAGCCGTAATTAAGTACCTCTGTAAGAAAGGGATGTCCCCCAAGGAAATTCATGAAGACTTCATGGATACACATTGGAAGGTGTAAAAAATGGGCTGCTGAATTTAAGAGGGGCAGGGAGAGCATTGGAGATGATCAGCGGCCTGGGCGGCCAAAAGAAGCCACCAATGATGAATCTGCCGAAGCTATGCACGATCTGGTCATGTGAGACAGAAGACGAGACATGCGAAGCATTGCTACGAAAGTGGGTATAAGCTTTGGTTCAGTACAGGCAATTCTGACTGATGTCTATGGCATGTCAAATGTTTCCGCTAGATGGGTCCCCAGACAGTTGACTAACAGCCAGAAACGGACCAGGCTTGACATTTCAAGATATATTTTGTCTCGCTACGAGGATGACCCTGTTTCTGTCTAACACAGGTACACAGGTGGGCAAAGTGCATTGAAGAAGATTGTTCTCAACCATGTTTAATTACATCTTTATTTACACACCAACATTTTTTGACATTTTGACAGAACTCTGTTTCTTCAGTTACAATAAGAACTTGACATGAATTTTGGAATCTCAAAATGAAAACGAGGCCAGATGGAGAATGCATCTAATGAAGATATTTTGGTCTGTAAAAACGAAAAGGAGGCTATATTGGATGTGACATGGATTTGGTAAGAATCTTTTGGGCTCTGGAAAAGAAAGCGAGGCTTAATTGATATATTGGATATACATGTATTGAAACATCACGTGGTGCATATAATGAAAGTGCATTTAAGTGCAGTGTCATTTTGTCATTGTTCAATCAGTTTATGATATAATCCATGTTAAACAGATATTGATATAACTCAGTGACATTTTCGTTTACATAACATTGACCTTACTTGTGTTAAAGCAGCATGCTTCCAGATTCATGCTTATTATTATGAAGATTTTGAAAATGTATTTATAAATATAAAATATTATGAAGTGAACAAAGAAAGTAATTTACACATTGAAAACGGCACTACGAATCCACGTAAATAACCAAAAAGAGATCAAAATATGCAAAATAGCCCTTACTGCCTTAGAAACGCAGTAGAAATGTGATGAAAGATACTGCAAAATTAGTCTTTACTCGCTCAAAAGATGTAAATTATTTCTCTACGTTCTTAAAATCTTAGGATTTTAGATTTTAATAAAGTTTGATTTTCTTGAAATAGTTTTTCTCAACTGAATAAAAATACTCAAATAGTTTTACTGACAACATCTAAAGATGTTTTATTTATATCTTATGCTCTATTGCCTACGTTCTCTTTTTATAGAATAGGATAATAAATAAATAATTAAATAAATAAATAAATAAATTTTATCAAATAAATAAATAAAAGCTAAGTTTCTACAATTTATATTTTGCCTTCGGTTTGTTGTTTTTTTTCATATACTAAGAAACTTTTTATATGTTTAATCATTTACGGTATAAAGAAGAAAAAAAAGGTGGGCTTACTTTTATCCTAAAAAGATACAATCCTTACGCTACTTGTTTTTTACTCTGTGAAGTAGCTAGAAATACTAATGCACGATTCATTTCGTATAATTTATCGGCGGGCAGTAAAATCTCATTTACGGAAATTGTACGTATATCAACATATGGTATTTGAGTATTTGTCTTCCTAGAATTTATCACTGGAGCTTTTTAAATATTTAAACTTTAACAAACACTATGAAACACTGCCAAAACATTTATTACGCAAGAAATTCACGATATCGTTTGTCCTCGGTAGGTATATTACAACTATTAGCATTTCCAAAAATGCAAGGAATCGCCGTTCAGATGGGCTGGTATTCAAAAATATTTCATTCGTGAAATAGACTCCTTCCTAAACAATAGAGCTTATGTTTCTTCTTTGAACAGAAATATTCCATATAATGATTACCTACAATGGTTTCGAACTTTGTACATGAAGATAGTATTTCAATTTTATATAAAGGTAACCCGACAAAATCATGGCGGATGGTGTGACCCTGAGGCACCCTTTTTGGAGGTCATTTTGGTATCAAATTCTCCGTTCAAGTTGGCTTAGAGGGGTAGAAAAAAATAAGTGTATATGAACGAGCGCAATAACAACAACAACTAAATGTCTAATACATTTAGTATGATGTTTATAGAAATACTGGGATGGAATTAAAACTAAATATAACTTAGATTATCGTTTTTATAAATGGTGACCCCTTAAGGTATGACCATACTTTCAAATTATCCGCGTTACATCGTATAGCGGATAATTGTTGTCTTGTCCTTACCGTGTTAATAAAACTGGATTGGTCAGTTTTTTGCTTGACTGCGTCGGAGTATATATAGTTACAGGGCGTGACTAGTAATCAGTTTCTATCGAGTATCTCACAGAGAACAGCCATTATCTTTCACAAATTCAAATGTTTGCCATGTCGAGGGAAATGAGTGAAAGTTTTGTGGAGGAGAAAGTCACAGATTTGTTAGCTCAGCATAAGCAGCAAATGCTAAAGGAGATGGAAGGCATGTTTCTTAAAATAACAGCGACTTCTCAGAGCAAGCTTTCCAGTCAAATTGCCTCTTCTTCGCTGACAACAGTAATTAAAGTTCCGACGCAAAAGCAACGAAGAGCAATTCAAGGTCAATGCGGACGTTTTGAGCAAGCTTGAGGACGCTGAAGGCTCGCTGTCAGTTGAAAACATGGAAGAAACCAGGCAGAGTATTATTAGCGGTACGTTATGCTATTGTACAATTTATCAGCTGTTTTTTCTATTTTTATCACAAAATTGTACACGTCTAGCCTATAGTTTATTTCATGTTACGCACGTGGAATGTGTGTTATTTTATAACGGTCAACTGTCTGTGTACTGCCCGGTTTGTTATGACTGTGCTGGTTTTGTTTGCCGCACGTTGAAAGTAATAATGTAAATATCCAGTTTTATGTTGTTTTTTTAAAACGTACACATGAGTGATAGCATATCGAAATACATGTATATTGATATAATATAGTATACGGGAGATAAGTATTGAGTTAATAAGTAAAATAATTTATATTGTTTTGTCACGCTTGTTTGGCATATTTTCAGCAAAATCGTTGCTTCAGCATCGCCAGAAGATGATTAAGTTGGCCGATGCATCGGATTTAGGATGGAAGGTCGTATCAGAATACGAAACCAACCCGCTTGCTAGTGATAGTGACGATGAAAAGAGGATGTACAAGGCAGAAGCCCGTGCTAACAGGAAGGCGAGAGCAGACAGGGCCAAGAAAGTCAGGGGATCTAGGTTCAATCCTTATCGTAAGAGGGCATCGTCACCACAGGACCGAAGAATTGGCGGTTTTGATCCTGTTCAATCTACAGGCACAAGACGTATTCCTCCAGGACTTTGTTTTGCCTGTGGAAAAGCAGGACACTGGAAGGGTGCACCGGAATGCGCAGCAAATATATCAAATAATAAGATAAGTACCTATTATGTTAATAGTGCTATAAGTTATGTTAGTTCTGCAGACACGGAGTCTGATACAGGTGAGTCAATCCTGAATATGAATGTAAAATTTAAGAGTACTTTGAAAACTAAAGGGCTTGTTAAGTCTGACATGGATGAGGTCTGTAAAATTAGTGAAAAGGCACCGGAAGTGCATGTCGAGCTGCACTCTGATGACGTCATTCCTTATCCGGAAGTAAGTAATATGCAGGAAATGTCTGTTCAGGCTCCGGAGGAAATAGTTTCACCTGTCGGTAGGTTGAAAAGTTGTTATAACAAGTGGGAATCGGTGTCTTCCAGTGAGTATATCAAAAATGTTATAAAAGAAGGCTACAAGTTGCCTTTTAAAGATATTCCTGAGAAAGTAGTGTTACGAAATAATAGGTCTGCGAGAGAAAATCCTGTTTTTGTAAAGAGCGAAATTTATTTTCTTTACTTAGGAAAGAAATTATTTCTGAGGTAGACGAAGTCCCTTATGTTGTTCATCCCTTAACGGTTGCATATGGAAAGTCCGGCAAGCCTAGGCTAGTTTTAGACTGTCGACATATAAATGAATGTTTACATTTGTTTAAGGTCAAGTTTGAAGACGTTAATGTCGCAAAGCAAATTTTCGCTGAAAATACATTTCTATTTACTTTTGATTTAAAGGGGGCATACCATCATGTGAATATATTTCAACCACATAGAACGTATCTAGGGTTTTCTTATCAAGATGAAAACACGATGAAATACATTTTTTGTATTATCACTTTAATTCTCTCCCCTTTGGGATTCGAACCGCTGGGCATATATTTACAAAGCTTTTAAGGGAAGTTGTAGCTAATATCAGAGGTCATAGTCATAGAATAGTGATGTTTTTGGATGACGGCATAGGAGGCCACACTGACTATGAATTAGCAGTAAATTCAAGGCAGTTTGTTAAAAATACTGTCATGGAGTTCGGTTTCTTGTTAGCAAATGAAAAAGGTTGTTGGGAACCTTCATATGGTTAGGTCGTGTATTTGATATGGTAGATAATAAAGTTTTTATCTCAGAAGAACGGATGTTTCGATTAGCTATTAAGATTGAATCTATTATAAAGCAAATAGAATCGAACCCGGAAAGAATTGTGCCAGTTAGATTCTTAGCTTCTGTGATAGGTCAGATTATATCACTTCAAAGTGTGATAGGTAGCATAGCAAGGCTTAAAGCAAGAGAATCTTTTAAATGTATCAATACACGGGCTAGCTGGAATGCTCCTGTGAAAGTCACACCGGAAGTGATGTCAGAACTTTTATTTTGGAAAGATAACGCCAATTTATTAAATGAAAAAGGTTGTTATTTAAAGAGCATAGTAAGTTTTAATTTCAACATATTTGTAGACGCAAGTTCAGTTGGGTACGGTGGTTATCTTGAACCGGTAAGTGAGGATTGTTTTCCTCAGGAATTTCAAGGTATATCAAATACTGATTTAATAACTGAAGAGATTGTCTCCCCGGAAGTGGAGTCTGGAGGTATCCCGGAAGTGATACATAGTAATGTCAAAGGTGTTCAGGATACTGGTCATAAATCCCCGGATGAGGATAAGAACCTCGGAAAAGGTAGTACGGAAGTCGTAGGGTCTTGGTCACGGAGAGAACGATTATTGAGTTCTACCTGGCGGGAGGCAGAAGCAGTTCGAAGAGTTTTGTATACTTATAGAAAAGAGCTTAAAGGCTCGTGTGTTAAGGTTTTTTCTGATAACAGAAACGTTAAGTCTATATTAAAACATGGTAGTAGTAAGACAAATTTACAAAACATAGCCTTAGATACAAGAGCATATTGCGATGAAAATGACATTGCGATTTATACTGAATGGATACCGAGGGAAGGTAACGAAAGAGCTGATTACTTAAGCCGTTGTGTAGATAGTGATGATTGGGAAGTTAGTACAGAAGTTTTCTGTTATTTAGACAAAATTTGGGGTCCGCATACTATTGATAGATTTGCTTCACATATGAACAAAAAATGTACTAGATTTAATTCCAGATGGTGGGTTCCGGGAACAGAATCGGTAGACGCTTTTTGTCAAAATTGGTCAGGGGAGACAAATTGGCTTGTACCCCCTCCAAGAGTTATTTCTCTTTGTTTAGAAAAGATAGCTGCAGAAAAAGCTGCTTGTACGTTGATCATTCCTAAATGGAAGAGCGCTCCATTTTGGCCATTATTAACTGAAGATAGTAAATGTGGTTTAAAACAGCAAATAAATCTGGGTAGATTTCGAATACTTACGAAAGGCAGAGGAAATAATGGTATTTTCTCGTTAAATCCGTTACCGTTTGATATGCTTGCCCTGAAGTTTGGCTAAATGTTAATATAACGATATTGTGTTATATTTATGATAATCATATATAGTGTGCTTAATGTAAGTTTTCTCCTACAGGTCTTGACTTGAGAGATTCCTTAAAGCGGAAGCTGGAGGAGGCTGGGGTGAGTGATCATCAGTCACGTGATGTAGCGGGCAGTATGAACAAATATCTTTTACAGTCGAAATCTGAAAATACTGTGAAAAAGTACAGGGGTTATTTTAGACATTTTCAATCATTCTGTAAAGATAACAATTTAGTTGATTTACCAGCTCAGCCTATTTGTGTTTCTATGTACATTACGCATTTGTTAGATCAAGGAAAGTCATACAGTGTCGTATCTTCTGTTGTGTATGCTATAAAATGGATGCATTCTCTCAATGACGTAAGAGATCCTACTGAACAAAACATTGTTAAGCTTATGTTAGATGCAGCTAAAAGGATCGCATCAAAACCTAGGGAAAAGAAGGACGTTGTTGATAATTTTATGTTACATGAGCTCTGTGAAAAATATGAGAATTCTCAGGATACTATAGAAATTAGAGATTTATGTATGATTATGTTGGGGTTTGCGGGTTTTTTGAGGTATAACGAGATTAGTAATCTACGTTGCAATGATATTGTTTTTCATGATAATCATATTTCGTTGCGTATACGTAGCAGCAAAACTGATCAATATAGAGAAGGTAGAGAGGTAGTAATAGCCAACGGTAAAACTTGCGCATGTCCTGTTTCATTGTTAAGACGCTATATTTCTATAGCAGATCTTTCTGTTAAATCAGAGGATTTTTTATTTAAGCCAGCATTTAGATCTAAAAAGGTTGCTTCTCTTATTCTAAAAAATAAAAAGTTGAGTTATACAAGAGCTCGAGAAGTAATTGTTAAGAAGTTAAAGTCTGTCGCTCCGAACGCAAAGTTAGGTACTCATTCTTTAAGGGCTAGTGGGGCCACGATGGCTGCAAATACTCCTGGTATGTCTGATAGATGCTTGAAGCGTCATGGGCGCTGGAAAACAGATATTGCTAAAGATGGCTACATAGTAGATTCGCTTGAAAAGAAACTTAAAATCACACAAGCGTTAAAATTATAATGTATATTTTATCATAAAGAAATCATGTAATGATTTGGGAAAGTTATAATTGTTTTAGAAATTGTTAGATGATATTGTACATAATGAAGGGATCGGCTAAATTTGAATTTGAAATATTCACCACCTATGCTTTGTAATTTTCTATAATCAATTCTCGAAATGCACAACTGTGTTGTTGTTTTATGATAAGGTAGAGATGAGACTTTCAAATTATCCGCGTTACATCGTATAGCGGATAATTGTTGTCTTGTCCTTACCGTGTTAATAAAACTGGATTGGTCAGTTTTTTGCTTGACTGCGTCGGAGTATATATAGTCACAGGGCGTGACTAGTAATCAGTTTCTATCGAGTATCTCACAGAGAACAGCCATTATCTTTCACAATTCAAATTTAGCCTTTCGAAATATTGATGACTTTGTATTAAAGCATTATTTGTTGATGATGCATGTTGCAATGTTTTCACAAAGCGGACGTGATATAAACCCAGGGGTTGATGAAGGCGACTTTATGACCGGACAGAGCATGGGTCCTCCTACGTCCCTGCTGGTTTGTTGTATTTTTATACAATATGTAATTCTTCCAGAAGGGTTGCGCAGCCCGCTCGCGGTTAACCTGGTTTGTCTGCATAGTGTGATTGTCTGGCATGTTTTTCATGATTGTAACTGTGGAAAAAGTGATATAATTTAGTTTGATAAAACTCAACGATTGTTAAATATAATGGAGCACTTACAAGTATTTGTTTATATATCATGATATTATGTATACATGTTTATGTTTGTATCATGCATATAATTTGCTTATGTCAGCCTTCTTCATGCTGTTTCTCTCAATAATCAATTCTCGAAATGCACAACTGTGTTGTTGTTTTATGATAAGGTAGAGATGAGACTAATGCCTTACCTCCGCTTTGTAGGCTAGAACTACTGTTAACTACATTGAAACTGAGGGCAATGGGTTCAAAACCCAGATGTGTCAACTTTTTCTTTTCTTTTTTTTTCTTTTAACATTATTTATGTATCTCTCCATCCATTTTGGGAAGAAAAAGTGTTAATTTTTTATTATTTAATTTATATAGGTATTTATTGGCTAAAAAGTGTTAAATCTAGTAATAAATATGGTACCTGATATTTTCAAAGTGTAATAAAATCAAAAGTAGACGGTAAAAGTATTTAGTATTTTACAAGATCAACTAATATACTTCTTTAAAAATTAGGGAAACTTTGAAAACAGGCACTCATTTTGGTAAATTCTAAGGATTTTTTAATGAGGCTCCCTAAGTATAAATATGGTCAAACACTTGTTAAAAATGGGTGGGGTAGGGTAACATTTTTATACATATTTCATAAAATATTAGTAGGAACCGTAATTTTGTTTATGTGGATTGGTAGCTGAATGGTACTTTTTGTTTCTTACTAAAATTAATGGGAAAACGTTTTTATTAGGATGTTATTGCAGATTATTTAAGGGTTCCTCATTTCTGAAAAAGGGCTCTCATAACATCCTAGCTTCAGTTCAGAAAAGTGGCCATAACTCGATTTTCGTACGGTAAAGTCTGTTTAAATTTTACATACAGGTGTATGTTACCTATTTTGTCAATTTTTCAGTTCCTTATAGTACCCGTAAGGGTGATCATACCTTAAACAGTATAGAAATTGGCATTTTCGAAGTAATTCGATTAATGTCAATCCTACATGTTTATAAATTTTATTCATACCCAAATTTATCATTAGGTGTGGCACAGGATAAATTATGTACAAATGCACAACAAATGCAGAACTTTCTATTTATAGTTTTATGAAGCCATATGGTTATTTTCAAACTAATGAACTCTTTATTTCTGTGGCTGCCATTTATGATTAAATGAACATTCGTCTAATTTGCCCTATCTCTTTGATCTATTTCCATAATTTAAATAGACCTGGGTCGTATTTTCGGTCAGATCATGACGTCAAGCATACATATTCTCGTAAAATGAAAAACAAAATAAACAGACATGAAAAACGATTGTGTATAGGTAGGTATTCAAGGGTTTTGTTTTGATAATGTCCGTCTCACTTGTGGGGTTCACAATAACTGATTTATATTTGCCAGATACCCAGTTTCTGGAAGTTCGAGTCTGTACTATTTGTATTTTTGGAAATGAATCCTTGAACGCTGCAAGCAATTGAATTGCATTACACTGCATTATTTTGTACTGTACTTTTATTCTCATTTTGTATTTTGTACTGTACTTTTATTCTCATTTTGTACTGTACTTTTATTCTCATTTTGTATTTTGTACTGTACTTTTATTCTCATTTTGTATTTTGTACTGTACTTTTATTCTCATTTTGTATTTTGTACTGTACTTTTATTCTCATTTTGTATTTTGTACTGTACTTTTATTCTCATTTTGTAGTTTCTTGTATAGTTTGTAGTGTTCAATAAATTATAAACTGAAATATTTATGAAAATTCACATCTAATTATGACATTTAATGATATCTGTATTGATAATTCACGACAAAAACAAGTCGAACTTACTTACCCCTGCTTCGTCCATTCCTGACCAAATACATGAGTAAAAAGTACCCGTCGAATATGATACGAACATCTAATTCTACTGCCGAACAAAATTGAACTTTAAAATCATGATATAAGAACTTTATTTATATTTATATTGAGATTTTGATTGCTTTAAGAACTATTGCAAAACAGTTGGGGCCCCACCTTATTCTCTGTGAAACAACGTTTTTGGAGTTGACCAGGTAAAGTTCAATGCATACTCGTATTTACTGAACTTGGTTAAATGGAAATCAATATTCTGAGTCATATGACTATGTAGGTATTATTTTTTAGACAAATATTTTAAACAATAAAGATACTGTAGTTGCCCATATCGCAATAAGTTCGTTTAAAGTGAGAAAAAAATAGTATTGTATGCTTCTTCCGATGTTTTTGATACAAAACATTGTTAGATGATATTTATAATTAGACGTTACTTCTAAAGTGTCTCCCCTACGGAATCATTTTTCAAAAGCTTGCAAGTAATGGCCATTCATGAAAAATATGACTTTTTTTCTCGTGATTGATTTTGAAATCTCAGTCATCACAGTCGGAAGCTCTATTTTTGTTTTAGGTTTTAAAACTAAATCGTCCGTGTAAAGAAGGGTAAACATATGTTTAAGATCAAATGAGACCAAATAACAACCATCACTTACATATAACTACATCATTTCAAGAAACTATCTTAATTTACGAAGAACATTTGTACAAAGTCGTTTATAAGAAGAACTGAACAATTTTGACCTTTCAGACTCTAATATATAATACTTACCTATTACTTCTAGTTTAATCTAGCATTGTAAAAGCAATCTATAGCTAAAAGTGACATTATGCTCATATGTTCATAGTCAAGTTGAGCTGAATTGACTTTATATTTCAACAGATTGACTGTTATTTAAAATGGTGTTTGACCAACAGTTGATATTAGAAAACGTTCAGGATAAAATTATAAATCTGCCTAAAATATAAAAAGACTGCCCCACTCTTTTTATAAACTGAGTGTTAGAGGTAAATTCTAATGGATATTTACACAAATTTTATTTGGATATGTGCATTATTTATTGTTTATGGGAAGTAAATTATTAAATTAAAAGGAATTACGGCAAAATGAAAACTTATTTTGATATTCGCCTGTACTCACTGTACCCTTTGATGGGCATAATGTCACTGTATGAAATGTATAAAATTATTTTCTGAAACAGTATTATAATAGTCATACATAGAATCTAGTCTTAGATTTTATTTTTGAATGTATTGTTGAAGTTTATTGTTATCTCATTTCAATTTGGTATAAAACTTTTTGTAATTTATACTATAGGCTAGTTGAGAATAGTGATAATAATAATAATAATAATAATAATAATAATAATAGTAAGAAGAAGAATATCTATAAATTGCGACGCTTAGTTTTTCAACAGACAGTTTCAATGCTTAAAATCGAGAAGTATATTTGCTTTATTTTTCTTTTTTCATTTTCCTAACTTTCTTGACTTGTTAATTGTTTTACGAGCTACACAGACATCATAGCCTTTCCAGTTAAACGTACAATTGGATGGTCATGAATATTCATTGCTCTATAACCATTATGTGTTTCCCGTACCATTTATACACGTTTTTACCACTTAAACTCCAAAAAAATGTAGGTCTGTATTCAATATGAAAGTGATTCGGAATAAAGTTGCTAGTATATAATATCATTATGCTTTTGCTGCATATCTCTATCTGTTTCTTATAGTTGGCTCTTAAGGAATATACTACAGCAGATCACTATTAGCATTGAGTTCAATATAAATTCCAAATCATTATTACTACAGTATGTCTGTTTAATTCTTAACACGATGTATTTGAACGAACCTGATCTTTGTTTAAGGCTTTGAAATATTATGTGATAAAAAAACCTACAATCTGTCCCTTTTTAGATGTATTTAATAAATGGAGGATATACAAGTTTGTTCTATAATTACTGAGGATTTCTCGAATGGCATTAATGATAATTTTCATACCAAAAGATATACTATAAATCTTGTATAAATTTAAAGAAGAAGAAAACTTTTTCCTTTTTTTTTGAAATTACAATTCAAAAGACCTCACCTTTTAAATTTGTGTATTAACTGAAGTTAAAAGAAAGTAGTCCGGAAAGACACCAGTGAAAACATGGAAAATATTATGTTTCACTGCAGTGAAAAATAAATTTTTAAAGTGATACTACGGAAAATAAAAATATGCATTTATTTATCAATATTTCTCAATATTTCATTTATAAGTACATTGTATATATATAATTAAAGTCGGTACGAAATGATAAAATGATATGAGATCCAACGATATAATAAGTCGTTATTTTTTTGTGCAACATTTTATTCAAACGTGAAGCATGGCCATTAGTGATATACAAAATAAACAATTTAATATATAGTTAGAAACATTCAACAACAACAAAATATAATGATGCCTACTCCAATTTGTTGGAGGGTATAAATTAAATTAAAAAATAGAATACTTTTACATATTTTCCATTTTCATATCAGTAAAGATCAAATACGCGTCAACATGTCGTACAAACAAAAAACAAAAACACTTGTACACAATTACAGGATTTATGCGAATCTTTTTGGGATAAGAATGAAAAGAAGAAGATATATCTACATAGGTATCTTTATAGGAAAAAAGAAAGTGATAAGGTAATTGTGTAGGCTTATAGGAAATTAGTAAATATGTTCGCATTAAGGAAGTTATGTTATCTGCTCTGAAATAGAAAAGTACGGAAACGTTAAAGGGCCTCCAATAAGTGAGATCATGATGTGTAAGTTTTCTGATTTTAATTCGATTTAATTAAAAGTTTTAACACAAATCAATTTATTTTATTCAGAAAGATTAAAAAACGACGTTAATTTCGGAGAACCATTTCTCGATATGCTTGAAATTTTTGTGTAGGCGAAAAGGTATCTTTTCGTCTTTTGTAAAACATTTATCTTTGTGACAAAGAATTACCTAGACACATAAGCATTTTGAGAAAAGTGACTAAGAATGACAAAAAAAAGGTCTAATCTTTGTGAATAAAATGAATTGATTTGTGTTTAAACATCTAATCAAATAGAACACAAAAAACAGTCGTCATACACCTCATGATCGCACTAAATGAAGGCCCTTTAACGTTTCCATGTTAAAGTGTTTTAAGTTACAAGATTGACACGCTCTAGTAATACAATCGTGTCTTCTTATCTATTTAACTGAGATACTAGACAAGTTTACAATATTTTACGGTTTAAGTTTTTGTGTTCGTATACATATATGTCAATATTTAAACCATAAATTGAAAAATCAATTTAATCGTAAATTATACACTTAGATTATAAACTCGTGATTTACCCTATTGCGCTATAACGCTGAGTACACTAGTACACTTAGTTTAGAGATACAAATTAAATTAAATTCCATCGTACTGCGTACATCTCACGGAACGTACCGAACATCTACCGAAGATTAATATACTGTGTGCATCGACCGTGTAATCAATATGTAATTGACAGGTTAATAAAACCAAACAATAATGTTCTCAAAAAAAATACATTTACGTTGCTTTTGTTTCCTTATGGTCAACTCCATGAAGATTTTTTATCAACGATACCATTGATATTAAACGCACATATTTAGGGGAAAAAACGCTTCCTAATATTTAATAATAATAAAAAAAATATTCAGCTTTTTTTTTGTTTAGATGATACCACCGGCTTATCGGAAATTCAATATTATCATTATTAAAATTTTAGACTCTTTTTAAGAAGTAAACCAATCTTTTACCTATAACAGCCACATAAAGATGTATTACCTAAGCCTTTGGGGGTAAAATTTGATCTTTCCTGGTGTTTTTGTGCTGTCAGAATTTTTTATTAAGAAATTGATACAGGTGTTTGCTTTATTTATAAATAGCATTGATATTCCTATAATTGCAATCAATCAGGGAAAGATTTATTTAACGTTTTCAATATTTATACTATGAATATATCAATCACTCGCTCTCACTCAAACTAACTTAACTTCATGTTAAAGCTACATTATCTTCAGACCATTAATGCATCACAATTGGCACTGCACTTAATGTAAATATGAAAATCATATACTCGTGAAAATTTAGCCTGTTACGTAACTTCCCGATTTTATATAAAGATCAAGACCAGAATCTACCTCATCAAACCTGTCTTATCATAAATGCACCGATGTTTACCGAATTCATACGATCCGTTTAATGCTGTATAATTATGTTTCTGTTTTATTTCACTGACGAAAGCAATACGTTTCTATTGCATGCTAAGACTTCTTTTTCCTCTTGTTCCTCCTAACTTCGATATATTTCTTTGTCTAAATAAATCTAGAATGGCAGTTTTGTTGGTTGCAAACCATTAACTAGAAATGTAGCTAATCATTCATTAGATAAATCCTAAAATAAAGTCATTTCATAGAGTGTAATTTGCATTTATTCAACACAGTATATTTTTCATTATTAGAGCAATTTATGTGAGTTGTTGTCAAATATCCTCGTCATTTTATTTATAACAGAAATAAGAAAGTGTTTAGAAAAAAAACACAAGGTGTTGTCATAAAGCAACTGTTTCTATTCACTGATTTCACAGTAATGTTTCGTCATTTACACATCCATAGTTTCCAAATTCATACTCGAGATTATTAATCAAAATACAACAAAGTATTCAAACTGTAAATAAGCTCATTTAGTTGTATCACTTGATCTTTCAGACCTTCAAAAAGTATGTTTAGTTTTGTATTCTTCCCCTGTGGTTGCATTTTTAACTGTTATCTTAAACTCTGTTTCTTTAATGACCAATATACGTATTATTTTCAAACGATCAGGCCAACCATCTGGCGGTGGATACATCACAATCTCAGCAACTCTAGAGCACTTTTCTTCTTCCCTACAATACTTTGGGTCACGATGCTCCGACTGCCACAGTTCAATTGTTATCGAGCGATGTTTTAACGCTCGGTTCCTCCGAATTTCATTGACGAATGTTTGGATTTTGTCATTATCGCCGTTCCTTGACAGCGATAAATATACAATTAACAAGATTTGAACAGTTCTACCTTTACACCGCCTGTCTTTAGTCAATCAAAGCGAATAATCTAATATCACATGATAACTAAATGGACGACAAGGGGTGCGTAAATAGACTCGCCCAACCGCCATTTTTTGTCGGGTAATCTATTCGTACAACTGAAAAATACCATTATCAATGAACGGACTCAGTAACAGTCTTTTAAGTTCTTGTAGGAAAAAAACAGCAAAATCCATATTTGCTTCATGTCATTTCTGATTTGATAATGAAGTCTAAATAAGAGTGTTTTTTTCCCAAAAACTTGTATTTCTTTCTTCCGAGCAAAGAGTTGTATTGCATCATATCTATAGTATAGCAGGTCAGTTATAGTTCGTTTCAAAAGGAAAAGAAAAGCAGTAGAATAAAAAACATTCTCAGACATCAATGTTAATAGTTTGACTAGAACGGAATGGTAGAGTTATCAAGCATTTTGGTTGGCTTTATGTGTTGACCACATACAATAAAGCTATTAGGCAAGAACTATGCTCATGGCTGAACGGCGATTCCAAACATTTCTGGAAATGCTAATACTTGTTATACTTTAAAATCTGCCCTTTTTCATCTGCCCTTTTTCAATAACCCTTTTAAAATAAGCATCACAATACTCTTTCCCGTAATCTCCTTTTACTTTGAGTTCCTCGGGGTCAGTTTGTATATCAAAGTCACGGACTTCTTAATAGCCGTAGGTATACCCAGCATTTCTTTCAACGATATACTTTGGAGTTGTTGCCCTTTCATGACTGCAAGTCTCGAGTCTTGTTCAAGTAATATGTTTACGTTTCCAATTTAGGCCTTTATTTTATATATAAAATAAATATTTTAAGTCTGTGATGAGCTAATAATATTTCTTCTGCGACAGAAATGTAGTACATATATTAAGTCTATATACATATTATTTCATCAATATTTCTCAATATTTCATTTATAAGTATATAATATTAGTCGGAACGAAGTGATAAATTAATATGAGATCCCGCATACATTAAGTCAAGATTTTAAAATAGTTTTTCAACAATTTATTTAAACATGAAAGTTCATTTAGAGCATGTTCATTTAGTACACGTGCTATATAAAATAAACAAATGAATAGTCATCAGCAACAAAACATAATGATGCGTACCCCTCTTTGTTTGAGGGTACAAATAAAAAAGAATACTTTTTCATATGCCTGTTACATAACTTTCCATTTCCATATAAAGATCAAACATGCGTTAACATGACGTACAAACAAAAAAGAAAAGAAAAAACACTTTAACACAATCACAGGATTTATGTGAATCTTTTTGCGATAAGAATGAAAAGAAGAAGATCTATCTACCTTGGTATCTTTATAAAAAGAGAGGGAAAAAGAAATTTCATTTCATGTTTAAAGCTACATATCTTTAGACCAGAATTAAATTTTAATTAGTACTGCATTTAATGTTAATACATGTATACAAATCATATACTCGTGAAAATTTAGCATGTTACGTAACTTTCGTATTTATGTAAAGATTAAATACATGTACATGTATGCGTCAACAAGACCAGAATCCTGTCTTATCATAAATGCACTGATCTTTACCGAATTCATACATCCGTTTAAAGCCGTAAACTAGGAGGTATATGTTTCTGTTTTATTTCACTGACGTAAGCGATACTTTTCTACTGTATGCTAAGACTTCTTTTTTCCTTGTTCCTCCTAACTTCTAGCGCATTTTTCGTATATATTTCTTTGTCTAAATAAATCTAGAATGGCAGTTTTTTTTTGGTTGCAAAACTATTATCTAGCACAGAAGCCAATAAGTCATAAAATAAATCCTTTTCATAGAGAGTAATTTGCATTTACTCAACACAGTATATTTTTCAACATCAGCGCAATTTATGTGAGTAGTTGTTATAATTGACGCATTATAACCTGAATAAAAAGTATGTCAACAGGGTTTGTCCATATATATTGACCTAAACATGTTGTGTTTGATATCTTATATCCTCGTCATTTTATTTATAACGGAAAAAAAGTGTTTAGAAAAAAACAAACGTGTTGTCATAAAGCAAGACTGTTTCTATTCACTGATTTCACAGTAATGTTTCGTCATTTACACAATGCATACTCGAGATTATTAATCAAAATACAACAAAGTATTCAAACTGTAAATAAGCTCATTTAGTTGTATCACTTGATCGTTTCAGATCTTCAAAAAGTATGTTCAGTTTTATATTCTTCCCCTGTGGTTGCATTTTTAACTGTTATCTTAAACTCTGTTTCTTTAATTTCCAATATACGTATTATTTTCAAACGATCAGGCCAACCATCTTCCGGTGGATTCATCACAATCTCAGTAACTCTAGAACACTTTTCTTCTTCCCTACAATACTTTGGGTCACGATGCTCCGACTGCCACAGTTCAATTGTTACCGAGCGATGTTTTAACGCTCGGTTCCTCCGATTTTCATTGACGCTTGTTTCAATTTTTTCATTATACTTTAGAATCTGCCCTTTTTCAATAACCCTTTTAAAGTGAGCATCACAATACTCTTTCCCGTCATCTCCTTTAATTTTGAGTTCCTTGGGATCTGTTTGTCTATCAAAATCACGAATTTCTGAATAGCCGTATGTATACCCAGCCTTTCTTTCAACGATATTCTTGGGATTGTAGCCCAACAAAACAGCCCCTTTCATGACTGCAAGTCTCGAATCTTGTTCAAGTAATATGTTTAGGTTTCCAAATTTGGCTTTTATTTTCTCCCTCAGATAAGGCGACTCTGCGAATCCACCAACAAGGAGCAATGTTTCGACATCTACTGGACATTTCTTTATAACCTTGTTCAACGATTCTATAATACCATCTACTGAAGACTTAAAGAAGCCTGCCATAATTTCACCATTGAACTCAAGCCTATGGTCCACACTTTTGAATTTTACCTTTTCTTTATAACGTGATGTCATTTGTGACAACGTCTGATCTAGTGTTTCGCCTGTTTCAGATTTTAAGATTTCCAAAAGAGCGTTTTCTAATTTTAAGCTTATTACTTGATCATCTGCTTTAAATGCTTTTTTCTTTGTTTCGAATTCCTTTAAGAAATCAAGATACAGCAACATGTGATTTTCTTCAAACAAAGTCAACACTGGTCCACCCACAAGGTTTATCATGAATTTGTAAAATTCTAGATCTACTTTGTTACCACCATAGTCTCCACCACTTGCTCTATAAAGTTCTCGTAACTTTCCATTACCAATAATTTCATGAGCGCAGATATCAGCAGTACCGCCCCCTAAATCAGCTAAAATATATTTATATCCTACAGGAAGTTGATCTATAGAAGCTGAATTTGTTGCAATCATTAACCTTTCTCTGCAATACATGGATGCAGCTTCTGGCTCTAGTACTAACCTTATTTTATTTTCATTGATACCGGCATCTGTTGCAGCTTTTCGCATAAAGTGACGTGCAGATTGTGACCAAATTGCAGGAATTGATAACATCCAAAAAATGTCAGTTTCCTTCAAATCTGTTTCCTCTCGCATGACAGAAAGTGCTAAGGATTTCAGATATTCGATGACATATGAAAACACCCTGCAGGCAGGGAACTCTTTCTTGTGAATATCCTTTATCTTTGTGTCCTTTGAAAAAAAGGGTTTATTATGTAGTTCCATTTTGAACGCCCTGAATAAATAGTATTCATTTTGCTCACTTTCAGACAACTTGCAATAGTTTTCTAGAGCTTCGAATCCGAAAGAATCAAAAGAACCATCTGGTTTAAGTAGCACTGTGGTTGGCTCCCGATCTGTCTGAAGCTTATTTTTATACCTTCCTGTATGAATTTGGCTTTGATTTCGGACCAGAGAGAAAGCATATCCGGTATTGCTGGTTCCAAAATCTATTCCAACGACTACAAGAACACTCTCTGTGTCCTTAACGCCACGTGCTAATTCATTTCTGCTAACATGTCCTCCCATTTTCACTATTACTTAATTCGTAACATTAACCGTCCCATTTTGTATATTGTCCAATAATTTTGTGTCATTTCTTTAATTAATTCTCTTCTTTTTTAAGGTATCTAATTTTTTGTTTTGTTTAATGTAAATCTTAACATCCATGTTATCATTGTATTGACACTACTTTTTTAGTGGCCTCTAATCGATTTTACTGTATAACAAATAGTTCGATATTGGCATTTGTCCACGACTTTGTTTAAACATGTCTTATTATCTGTTTAGCAAATACCCTATCAATTGATATCAAGTTACGCGTTTAACTATACACTGCAATATACATAGTATATTTTAAGATATTGGAAAACCATTTGATTATAAGATCGATTTATATACCGCCAATCTGTTTATGAAGAGTATCACTTGAATTTCATTTACTTAGATAGTGGGTAATATTTATTTTCATGCACTTGATTTGAAATATATACTTAAGGACAATGAAAACGCACGGTCGGGATAATTGCATTTTAACAAGGAAAATAAATTTCCTATAAATATTTGTTCACAGATTCAGAAAACCGAATACATTGCAGTTTAGATTCCAAAATTATGAACATTGATTGCATTGTGAAGAAGTTATTGCGCAATAAAGACAGAACCCGAAAAAGTAACACTTTTGGCTAATTTTGATAACCAGATTGAACCAATTTATTGTTACTATATGAAATGAAATTATCTAATTTTTTAAACTGTTGATTATTAACTTGTTTTTTACACCTTTCTAGAAATGTTTGACACAGATCAGTAATCAAAATCTTTATGAAAATGAGTATTAAACAATGCCAATGGTCACTTTTAGAAATCGTAAAAGCTCCCACGGAATTTGCATGCACACACAATTTTCCTCTATAAAAGGTGCTAAATTTGAAAAGATAAACTACTCATGACTTGCTAGCAACTTGTACGCAATGGTTCTATAAATAAATAATCGCTGGATAGCTTTAGGGCAGATTCAGACTGGTCTATCTTACCAACAAATCGCCAACCATTTGGCGTCCATCAGTCTACAATTTCTCGGCTTCACCAGCGTTTTCGTACTCCTGATACCGTCAACGACCGACGGAGACAAGACCAGCGGAGGGTTACGACAACGCGCCAATATATCAATATTCGCCTGGTACACATTGCCAATCGGTTTAGGACACAAGCAGAAACTGCCAGAACTATTCCAGGACGCCAAAATCCGATGTTCTCTGCTCGCACCATTGTCGCTGTTTGAGGGATGCTGGTCTTCGATGTCACAGGCCATACCATTGCCCACCATTATTACCACGCCAAAGACTTGCAAGAAGACGCTGGGCAGCCGCCCAAGCCCGTTGACGCTTAAACAGATGGGACAGCGTTATCTTTTCTGACGAGATCAAAGTAATGGTCGACTCAAGTGACCGAAGACAACGTGTTCAGGGATAGCTGTGTCGTAGAAGAGGAGCGCAGCGGACGAGAGTCGACTATGTTATTGGCAGGTACTGCCAAGTACAGGACAAATCTTGTTTGAAGGTGTAGGACGTTGAGGAAGATTACGCCGCTTAGGTTTGAACGCTCAACGGTACATTAATACCGTTCTACAGCCTGTCCTGGTTCCATTCGTTCGGCAGCATCATGGGACGTTATTTATGCAGAAGACCGCACGTGGCGAGAGTATCCTTGAATTTTCTGCAACAGAACAGGGCTAACTGGCCATCCGTGTCTGCAGACTAAAACCCAATTGGACATTTTGGGATCACTTAAAAATCGGACTGGGAAGAGTCAAATCATTCGTGACGTACAAGGACTTCGGGCTGCATTACGGGCCAAATGGCGTCAAATTCCACAGGCGACTACTCGCACCCTAGTAAGGTCTATGAGGTGACGATGTACATCTGTAAGAGACGCTGATGGAAGACATTGTCGTTTCTAAAGATCCCGACGGTGGCATTTCCAATAGAAATTTATGAGTGACTTTTTTGGGTTTTTTATTTTGGTTTTTGCCTTCACTGTTATGAAAATGCGTGATTTTGGGATTTTCACATTTGGTACTTCGATGGACAGGTGAACTTTTGATTTTAAACATTTTGAATTATTTTCAGTTGTTAAGTTTGCGTTTTGTAATAAAGTTATGATATATATATATATATATATATATATATATATATATATATATATATATATATATATATATATATATATATATATATATATATATATATATATATATATATATATATATATATATATATATATATATATATATATATATATATATATAATGGAGTCGTTAGTGTTTTGTTTTCATGTAATAAAATGCATATAGTGCGGGCGTGCTTGATTATAAATCCTGTAAAATTTCATTCAAAGTGCATTAGTGGTACACGAAAAGTAGTCCGGACATACTTTAAAAGTCATTAAAACTTTGACAAAAACCATTTAATTGGAAACTACAGATATGCACAATTAGACTTGGTACTGATTATTCCTGTAATGTTTGGATGAAATTACACCAGTAGATTTTTAGGAGTAGTTCAAACATTTTTGTTATGGACAGACAGATGGACAGACAACTGAAAAGTGATTACCATATGCCACAATTACTTTGTAGCAGACCATACAAAAAGTGAGTCAAAATATCATAATAAAATAATACTATTTTTTTATTTTGGAAAATAACAAGGTAAATATAATTATCATTGTAGATAAGATAGAAAAACAATACAAAATAAAGAAGAACAGAGAAAACTACTAAAGAAAAATATATTTCAACATTGTAAATTGTTATAAAAAATCAACTAAATGAATCAACCTATTTAATTGCTGAATCTACACTATATAATACATTGTTGCTATTTAGGTTTTAAATCACATAACATTTTCCATATGTACAAGAGCATGTGTGTTAAACACAAATGTGTAGAAATCTATTAATGGCACCCTTGACCCTTAACTCAAGCTAAAGGAAGAACACCATGCAAGTTATCTTCCTACCAAATATAAAAGACATCTGTCAATAAAATAAAGTTATACCTGTAAGAGTAAAAATCAATCGATATCTGGTGACCTTGACCTAAATGACCCTTAGGCCCAAAGAATGAGGACTTCTCTAGGCATGTCAATATAAAACATGGAAGGCATCATATATATATATATATATATATTGGCTGTAAGTATGAGCTTCGAAAAGTAAGTTTCTTAACATAAATGTATTAACAGCTTGAATTTCATTAATCTGGTCTCTTTCTGTCTTTGGTTTGATTTTATGTTGCACCAACACAGTATAGGTTATAATGGCAACCCTTTCCAGGTTTTACTTTCATTATTTTTTTGCTCCAAGAAAGGGGGGACCCATTGATTTAAAAACCACAAACCCCATGAAACCCTAAGGCTAGAAATGGGTTAAGTTTCCCCATTATAAAAAAAATTTCCCAAATCCCTGTTTAGGATTCAAAACCCCACAAGGGGTTTTAGGCATGTTTGTTTTGGGAAATCAACAAATTAAACCACCCTTTTTAATTTTGACCCCCAGTTTTAGTTAAATTTTAAAATTTGAAATAAAAACCCTTTCACAATTTCCAAAACAAGATCAGTTTTTAAAGTGTACATAAAATCATTAAAGTTAACCAATAGCCAAAAAACAGAATAAAAAACTTTTACATAAAAAGGGTATGAAATTTACATTCTTACTTTTTCTTTTTGGGTTTTGGGCGTTAAAAAGACCCAAAAAAGCAGATATTTTTTTATCAAGGGGAAAAACAAAAAAAGAAACCTTTTTAAAATAAACAGGCCCCATATTCAAAAAATTGTCTAAAAAGGGTCAAGTGAGAAATAAAATCTCCCATATCAAAAAGAAATTCCCAAAAATAAATTAAAAATAAATGAAATAAATATTTGTAAAAAATTTTATTGGAAAAACATTGAAAATAATTTTTTGAAGTAAATTTATATTTAAAATTTCCCTAAAAATGTTAAAAAAAACCAGTATAGAATGGTTTTTTAAGGTTAAAAAGGGTTTTATTTAAAACTTTCATCCTCCAATGAGTCAAAACAATTTAAGAAGAAGCCCAAACCTTTTTGGGTAATTTGCTGATAAACCCTGGAAATAAAAAAAATTCCCAAAAATTACCAGTTATATTTTTCCCCTAACAAATTTTTATGTTCAAAAAAACCAAAAAGGAAAAAATATTCCCTAAAATTAAAATAGGAAATATTTGTGGGGCACTTAAAAACCAATTCCAAATTTAAAAAATTTCCCCCAAAAATTTTGAGAAACCCTGAAAAAGGGAAAAAAACCCTTTGATATTAAAGGGGTCAAAAATTAAAATTTAAAAATTTTCATTCTTGGGAAATCTTTATTTTCTTCCCAAATTTTTGGGCCTTTTAAAACTTTAATTTTTTTCAAACTGGAAGTTTTCAGTTTTAAGCTATGAGGTGTTTCAGAAAATCATGGAGTGTTTTGAATAAAGGGGTATCATGGGGGTAACGAGTAATTTTTCTAAAACCAAAAAACCGGAGTAAAAGATTTTTCAACAGAATCTTTTCCATTGGCCCCCTAAACCCGGGATTTTAATTTTAAAAGTTTATGATCTTCCCTTTTTGTAACATTGAGGGGGGGAGAAAATATCCCTTTTTAAAAGTGTGGCCCTAGGAAGGTTGCAAATTCTTTTTTCTTTTCTCTTTCTCTGCTTCTGATATGACTACAATCTTCTTTGCCTCATCATTTCCCTTTCTGAATGATTCATTTAGCTGAAAAAAAATGAAACAAAAAAAAATTTCTCTTAGTGCTTAAAAGCTAATAATAGATAGAATTAATATTCGATTTTACATTTAACATTAGGGGGTATGGTAATTTATCTATGGATGAAAACATAAAGTTTTAGCCATTTGCTGAAGATTGGAAAATGATTATATTCTTGGCCATCAGTAATAGTGTGCTCAGGAGGCAATTAAAATCTGTGCAGCCTGAAATAGACTCTAATTAACTTCAAAAACTGTCA